AACTTTGGAGGCTCAAAAAATTAGAGGTAACGCTTTGGAGCCGATTTTCGAAAAATTTATATTTATTTTGAGGTATTCAAACAGATTTAAAAACATCTTAAAGGTTTCAAGAGTTAAAAAAAAATTAAGTTTGATGGGATTGACAATTTTAAATAAGTAACTATAGTTTAGGTTGCTAAGTTGCGAAACTTGTATTTGCTCATTCGAGACGTTTCTAGAATTTACTGGAAATTTCTATGAACTTTAAACGCTAAGTACTGAAAGTTTGAAAGGGTTTTGAAAACGTTCCGGAAACCAAAATTTTTTTTCGAAGCTGCAGTAGGAAGCTTTAGAAGATGCTAGATTTTATAAAATAATCAAAAGTTTCACAAATGGAATCTTGAATTAGGAGATAATTTCCAAAACTAACAACCTTTAAGTACTAACAACCTTTAAGTACTACAGCTTCTAAAAATTTTTTTAGACCTTCTCCAAAACTTTAGATTTTTTCAAAGATAAAGGTAGGAACGTTTGCGCTAAGCTCTATTTTATAAAATTATCAACTTATTGAAAAAATCAATCTTGATTTAGGAGACAATTTCCAAAAAATAAGGACGTAAGGATATATGAATCAATTGATATTGATAAGGATATCTGGGAAAACCGAATGCAGCCGCGTCCAAATCTACGCGCTGCGCTTCATGTACATATACAGTATGTTGCATGGAGGTTATAAAATTAAATCCTGGTCTTTTCAAATTACTCCACTACTACCAGCCATTTTCGGATACCGTGTTCGGTGTACAATGTTCGCAACGTAGCGCTATGTACGGACATTACGGACACAAGCTTCCATACAAACAGTACGAAAACAAATTTCCGATGTGTGTTCGTACTGTTTTTCCATTGCGTCGGTTGCGATACTGAATGCCTTCAACTTGCTAGTTGGTACATATCTTTTCCCAGGCGGTACACAGAAAGATTTGGATCTCGTTTCTTGATGTTAATAATTTAAAGGTGAAGGTTCCGCATACCACCTTTATACCACCGTTGGCTCCTAGTACCACCTTTCAACCATTTTTGGCTCCTAGTACCACCTTTTGCACACCACTTTTGACTCCGCAATCATTTTTATTGCTGTACGAAGTATATTTTGTATTTTTTCATTCTTCCATACCTCGAAAACAACTGGTCGCGCGCTAGCGCGACCGATACTTGTTAATTCATAACACTACAGCTGCAAAAAAAAATTAAATGGTGGCATGCGGAGTCAAAAGGGGTGTGCAAAAGGTGGTATTAGGAGCCAAAGGTGGTATGACAGGTGGTACTAGGAGCCAGAGGTGGTAAAAGGTGGTATGCGGAGCCTTCACCCATTTTATATTGTTATCGCTTATGCATAATGCCACCAACAATTATCAATTATCAACAATTGTCACAAACAATTAATGCCACCAACAATTAGCAATTTTCGCAGAAAGAGAAAAGCAACGTGGAAATCTCATTAAAAACTGACATAATAAGTTGTATGATAAAGGTCATCAATTATGTAGGAGTAACTATCACAAACAAATTAGTAACATTATAAGTTACAATCTAATTGAACATAAGTTACAATCATAAGCTAAAATAGTGTGTAGTTATACACATTTCGTGTAGTGATAAACGTGTAGTGTGTAGTTTTAGTTGTCCAAGTGTGCAAGATTAAAAAAGTTCAAAACCGTTAAAAAAAATTGGAGGGGGTCTCTTGAAAATTAAAACTATAATAATTCTACTATTTTTTATAGAATTTCTAGCAAATCTCACAAGAAAAACGTGCGTCGGCTTCGCGCTTCGCGCGAAACTCACCTTATCTGTCAATCTTACATCGATCTAGCTTGGCATTGTATTTGTCCTTTAACCTTCGTTAGCTTCAAATAATTTGGTCATTGCAGTGCTAATTTGCTATTTTTAATCAAAACTCTTGCTTTTTGCAGTTGAAATTCCCTGGTTTCGCGCTTCGCGCCGGAAGTTGACATTCACGATGATTTTTAACGCTAAAATTCGTGTAATGCGTCGCTGATTTTGCCTTTCTTTAAAAAAAGAATCCAACAATTTTATTGTTTTTGTAAACTTTTTTGCAGTTACTCCCTCCGGGGGCACCCCCCAGGGGCGCTCAGGGGCAGTGTGTAGTGATAGAATTAAGATATTTTAGCCCCTGGTTACAATCTAATTGAATCTAATTGAACTAATTGAAATCAAAATTTTGGCGAGCCGACACGGTAGAACCTCTTCTTAGTAATCTAAACCGAAATGATTCTGCAAACGATAACGACATGGTTGTTTTATTAATGTCTGTCGACCAGGCGCCGGCGCCGGTAAATAAGGTTACCATACAGCTTGCGGAAAAGGGTCACAGGATGGCGGTATTTACAGTAATTTATATACGCTATTTATTACTGTATTATCACAGATTGTGCTCGTTATTATCCTTATTTTTGGTCATCATCAATGCCTTCATAACAATTATATGTTTTTATAATATCATCACCATCAAATTATTCATCCTAATTCTTTATATTTAATACGGATATTTGAATCATGTAAAAAAATATTTCCACGGTTAAGCATATTTTAATCCCTTTAGTACATTCGGGAATTGAGGATGGTATGTTGCGGTTGGTGGCGGAGGACGCCGTTTATCAGTGCTATTGTTGCGTTATGGGGAATGCGTATTGTTGTGGCCGTTAACCGGTACTACGGTACCTATCTATACAGCCTATGGATCGGTGAGTGGTCTTATTAGCCGTAAAAAAATAATTATTAATTGCATATGGTGCAAATCCTAAATAATAATGCACTAGTACAGCATACCGTACGTAAACCAGGCTCTTTTATACTGTATATCAATACAAGGTGATATGATCATGACACCTTCCGTACGTGCGCACGGCGCCTCCAATCTTCGGCACCGGAAGTGGCACATTGAGTGCATGGACGGCGAAGCTGTTGTGGGAAATAGGTACAAAGCTTTTTAAATCTGCAGTAATACGCTGTTATTTATTTTTACTTTTTACTACGACAAGGTCAACTAGATTTCGCGCATGACGTAATAAGCCATATTTCTTCCGCGGTTTTTTGCCGGAATACTTTTTGTCAGGAAGTACCGAAGGGTGGATTTACTGGACTGACGGTGAGCCGTCACATCGACCGGCCTTCTTATTGTTCGTCTTTGAACTGGTCTGACACAGTGCAAAATTTTATCTCTTAGATAATTTTTCTTGGCGGCTGTTATTTGTTAAATTGTTCCCCATTTTTAAATTAATGGGTGGTTTTTGGCAGTTTTATCTTTCTGGCACGTGTAGTCCGCGCTATGGAATACCACTGCATGTGCTCATCGTGGCGCATGATTATTATGCCAAATATTGCATATGGGCTTTGGCTTGCATTGTTGTGGTTCTGACCATCGAGAATCTGTCATGGTTCAAGTTCGGAATGGCTGCGGATGTACAATTCGAAATAGTTTGTTGAATATATTAATCGATACAACAGTTATCGGTACAATAGATGACTAATTTCGGTTAACGCAGCTGATGTCACCGCGAGGCTGGACTACTTGATTGACCAGTGTCCAGCCGAGAAGACCCAGCAGAAGTGTAGAACGTGCTAAGGAGATCTATGAACATCCCGATGCTGGAGAAACACCGTATCGTCGGCGGCGGCTGTACCACAGCGGTTGTGCATTTATTTTTTGTATATTAAACTGGGATGATAACTCGCTGAAGTTTTAGTGATCCAATAGCAAGTCGTACTTCCATCTTCTTCGCCCTTTTATATGGATGTGTGGGGGAGACTAAACGACGGGGCCGAGGTTGGATGACGGGACACCTGTGTTCTGATGGTACTGTCTTCTCCCAGTGGACAAATAAAGCTGTGTCCTCACATGTCACTGACTGATTGCTGCTGCCGCAGATTGCACTGCACGTCATCCCTTTGTAGAGATGTAGCGGCTCCTGCTTTTGATTTTTTCCCAAGACGGACGAATACGTACCATCGTAAGACACCAAGTGTACATTCCCTTGACATACCATGTAAGTACGTGCAGGCTACTGATATCACGGGTATAAACAAAGACGAACTAACTCGTATTACTGTATTACTCTCGGCACGAACTAGTCTATTTTACTTGTATTGTATTTTACTAGTCTATTGTAGTCCAGACTCGCGATCAGCATCCGCTGCGTTATACGGTAGTACATGTATTTTGAATTGCTAATAGCCAAATTCAGCAGTTATCTGAAAGAGCCTTGACCTGGCGCACTGACCTTTGGGAACGTATTTTGAGCAGCCTTTTCCTTAATAAAAATATATTTATGCATGATACAAAAGAATTTCGAACCGCAAAAATGCAAAATCAGCCTCAGGCTGCATTTGCTTCTGATATTTAATTATGTGCTTCAGCAGGTTTATAAAACGTGTACTTTACCTTACGTATCTGTACTACACATTTGTATCACCACACAGAAAATGCCTGACTATATGGGCAACAATTTGTAATACCTGAACTCGGTATTTTTCGTAGAGTAGATGTACTCGTACATTTGTTTCGCGCGGGATTGTTGACTGATGTACCTCTGCACTCTGCAGTAATAGTAGGGTATTAGTTCATGCGGTAACGCGCAAAGAATTGCCTGCAAGATGAAGTTCCCTTTCACGTAAGACATTTTACCTGGTTAAGACTGGTTAGGTGACTTTTCAGTTAATACATTTTAGGCGACTTTTCAACCACAACTCTGCAAAACGTATTTCTGTGTTGTGCCCAGCGTCGATCGGAATTTGCGGCAGTTTAAAATCAAAATGTTTGTAAATGAACTTGTACGCCATAAATACTGTATAAACTCACCGTACAGTTGAATACCGGTTAAAATCCATGATCGTGACTTTGCGCCAGAAAACAGTTTTATTAAAGTATTGGGAATTGACTTTGTGAGTCATGCACAACTGGTACGTTACTATGTCCAGCTATTATTATTGCGGGAGTGGCTACATTATAAAATTGCTTACTGTAGCTGTTATTATCCGGTTAAACACGATCAGACCAACAATACTCCTAGCCAATCGGTTTAATTTCCTGGTCGACAATGTTTTTCTGCGCCGGTGGATGTTGTTGGAAAGAGACTTAATTAGATCATGGCTAGGAGAACGGTCAATGGCGTTCAGTTGCATCATTAATAGCGTGTGGATATGTACAGCTAGATTGTAAATGAACTGATGAACTGAAGTCGGTCGATAATCCACAAAAGCACACTGTGTCCGAAAATTATTTGAGTCCGGCACACAACTGACCAGATATTTGTACTTGTCGGTTCCTTTGACATCAATGGAGCCGACGCCTAGTGCGGACGGTCCTGGGGATTTCTCTGTCCCTTAATATCGTGTAAATACAGTAATTGTTTGGATGATGTTCCAGTAATCTCGCCTACTCGTATCTTCCGTTTGTGCAGGAGCCTGAAATTTGTTTTCCTGAAATCATATACTTAATTTTTCGGGATTTCGGTATCCCGGCAAATTTCTCCGTACATCCGAACAGAGAAAGGGGGATATTTTTAATGGTGGAATATGTATGTGCTACGTCAGGTCGCCTCAGCTTTCTTAAAGTATTAGAAGTATTTGCGACTACATATCCTACGTTACTGACTGACGCGCTTCCTAACAATTTAAAACGGCCCGCGCTCAAGCTCTGACTCTGACTCAGACTCTGACCGCTCAACCTCTGACTCTGACTACTCAAAGTCTGACTCTGACTGTCCAAACTCTGACTCTGACTGAATAACCTAAGAATAACTTAAGAAACCTAAGAAACCTAAGAGAACTAAGAAACCTAAGAAACCTAAGAAACCTAAGAAACCTAAGAAACCTAAGAAACCTAAGAAACCTATTAAGAAACCTTCAGAGTCAGAGTCAGACTTTGAGCGGTCAGAGTCAGACTTTGAGTAGTCAGAGTCAGAGTTTGAGTGGTCAGAATCAGAGTCAGAGTCAGAGTTGGAGTCCAGGCCATTTAAAACCGGTCTGTTCGCGACGGTGAATTACGGTTATTTTAGGTGCGGAATGCACTCACTCAATAAATGCAGACTGTCGGTCTTCCGTGTTAATACAGTGTTAATACTCTTCTTGGATGCTAGAACATTTTAAAACCATACTTGATCCAAGTAAATTTTTTCGTTTATGATTTCGAAATGTGACTTCAAAATTCACTGCATTTGAATATTCCGTACTTTAGGTTTTCGTGAGGATCGTTTACGACAGTGCTTCCAATGGCCATAAATGTACCCGTCGTGGCTCATCTGCGTGTTTTATCTCTGATTGCTGATTTGCGAGGTACGTAAACATCACTCGAAAAACATAAGTTGTAGTTTAATATAGGATTTCAGTAATTCTGTTTTGATTTATGTAGATGAACTGCCAAACTGCTCCAAATACATTCCTAAAGGTTGGTTGGTTGCTTATGCATTAAACAATTGACTGCATCAACATTAAACTTGGATTTCAGTAGGTTAAAAAGACACTAATTTTATCGTTGCATTTCTAGAGCAAGTACTCGTGGGAAATACAATCCGAAGCTTTCCTGTATCGTCACTACAAAGTATCCTATATTCAACTGAATCTTATCTATGTGAACTAAGAAGTGACTGACATTTTCTTATACAGGCATTGGACTGAAACCATCTTTACCACCGAATTCTAACTTGGCTCAGCTGGAGGTATTGTTGTGAGACGGATGTTTGCCCGAACGAAACAATCCCATTTTTCCATTTAAGATCTGATTTAGTTGTTTTGTATTCGCTTGATGTTACTCGTTGCTTTTGTACTTCCTTTCATTATCTGAAATTAGTGAATCAAAGTTAAAAATTCTGATTTTTTAAAAACTGACAATTTTTGGAGTTAAGAAATAAACCTGGTTTTATTATGAAAATTTTTATGTGACATGTTTTCCTTGGCAGATTCTCTTGCAACATTCAAAAGTTCTGGGTTGGCACTGGACAAATCGGTTCCGATTGCAGGTTTGAATATCTTCGCAAATCAGCTTAACTTTGAGTTGTTGAGTTGTTAATATCTGTGGGATTGTAGTCCTGCAGATCATCATCGTTCTTACTTCATAGGTCTCCAAAAGTAAATTTTTATTGTATTTTAAGATTCTGCTTTCATCTTGTGTATTGGTGAACGTGTTTCTGAATCCCCAAAACGGAATCGATGTTGTCAAAGTGACCCTGGACCAGACGCTGACCCCGACGGTACGGAAACGTTTTCCCGTCTGCTGCGAGGTATCGGACTCGCTGGTTGTGGTTGGATTTTCAAATACGGAATTGACCTCTTACCGTGTAAATGGGCCAAAGGATGGCACAGCGGTGAGTTCAGCCTTGTCGATGCTTTTAGACCGACTGTGCTTTTAGCATGCGCCCATATGTGGCTGCTGAGATCGGCAATTCCAGTACAGAAACGTTTCGCGTTTTGCAGATTTGCCATTACAAGAAACGCTCAAAGCTGCATAATAACTGCGATATGCAAATGGCCTTTAGCGATGATAAAACCAGGGTCAGTTAATCCATCCTAATTGGAAGCGTTTTGGAATTTGGAATGAACTCCACATGGTTTTTTACCATAGACATGGAATTGCAGATGGTATTATGCTTTGCGCCGGTGCGGACGTACGCCGGCAGACAGTGGTTCCCAAAAAAAGCAGAGGATTCCTGTTGGACGCTCCATGTCTACGCATGCGACGTTAGGGACGGCGTTCCGCTCAAACGACTCCACAGATCTCAAGGCAGAGCTCGCTCCAGAGTTCTGCAACTCTGCTTCTTGTAAGGCTGCAAGTACCGATGATTGCTGCTTAAGACACTAATGCTGCAGACGATTTTTTAATATACATACACTGCAGTTCAAGTACCGTACATCGTACGTACCACCATGATAAGGAAGAAAGCTAGGTCTGCGCGCCTTAAAAAGTTTCCTTTTTATTGCTTTCAGTATTTGTCAGCGAATCATAGTTTTTTTTGCAGTTTTTGTTGTTACACAAGATATATCGGTACTGGTACATCAATTATTAAAATATAATTTGCCACCGGAACGTAATGCCGAAATTATGATGCTTTCTTTAGACCAAAAATTCCCGGATGTTTCATCGTGATGGATTATGTCGATGGTCCGGAACCAAACATTTCGGTTTTGTACTACGGAACTAATGGACGATCTCTCCAACTCTTCTCTTGTGTCAGTGTGGATACTTTGGGTACACTTGAGTAGCTACATACCCTACAGTAGTAGTCGTTATACGAGTATATACAGCAGTAGAATTTGTATAGTATAGCCTTAACAGATAAAACAATGTACTTTCCAGCAACTCATTCGCTGTGTACTCCAAAAACAAGTGAAACTGAACTAAATTAGTAAGTCATTAAATTTTAGTTATTTTAAGTTCAACTACTGCAGAGGTCAGGACAGTATGCAGGAAACGTGCATGATGGGCAAGACTGAATGTTGAGATTGTTGAGCGCATGTCGAGAAATGGAGTTGACATCTCGGGTTTTTTAGGATATGCGAACGCACTGATTCATTACGTTTCATAGAGAAATGTGCCGTGCAAGTGTTTATTTGCCGCACAATTAAGGTGTTTTAAAGTCTTAATTCATTTTTGCAGGAACGTTGCTTTCTTCGGCCATTCATGCTGAAAAAGAACTAATTGGGATTGGCTTGGAAGACTGTTCTGTTGCAATTTTTGACATCCGGCAAAATACTCTCCGTCGAAAGATTTGCGACGTGGTAAAACGGTGGCAGTTCTTCTTATTTGCCATTAGTAATTTCTTCCTACATTTAGACCGCTGATTTAAAATTAATTTACAGAGACCGGAGCACATTAAATGGAATCCGGATGGACTTTTCCTGGCCATTATCAATTCAGAAGCTTCCGTCCAGATTATGGACCTATCGTTACAGTTCCTTCCGCAACTGTTTCTGAATGATGTGGAAAGGCCGGCTAATCGTTTACGCCTACGAACGTCTTTTAAGTAAGCCCTTATTAAGAAATTTAAAGTCAAAACCTTATCAAGCGAGTAAAATGATATTCATTTGTCACTTTTACATTGAATTATGTATTCTAGTACGTGTAAAGGTATGAGGACAGAAATTACGCACATTTACTCAATTGTTAGCATTGACTTCACTGTTTTTCCATAGTTCGGTATCGCCACTAGCAAAATGTGAGTGGATAAGTTTGATCGCCGAAGGTCAGACCGACTCGCCCACCGGTTACTTCTCCTCAGGAATACTGCTCCAGTTTGAACGGTAATCGTGTTACTGTATATGCAGCCCTTTACTTGTTACAACGATAAAAACAAATAATCGTAGACAATTTACAGAGGACCTTTGTCCATCCTGTCCTTTGCCAGAAATCCTGATAATGTGTCCCAAATCCAAGTATTAGTAAATTATCGGATAGCACGAGAGGAATTTATTCAGGTTTGCCTAACGGTTTCAAAATTCTGTGGTTAAATTAATCAGTTGCTGAGAATTTGCTTTTTAATTCAGGTTGTGCGATTACTCAAGCAAACAAACCACGAAGCAAATTCCAGAGAAGCGATAACCGGGATTCGCAACTTGTTGGGCTACATTGTTCAAGTTATTCAGGAGCCCGATGAATCAGTGGGCGGTAAATTCTTACAAATTTTAGTGGAGATATATATGACCAGCACACTGAGCTTTAAATTTTCAGCAGGTCTACAGCTATATAGTGTAGCTCTGTATTCTGAGCTACGAACATAACTGTATAACTGACCTTTTTATTAACTTATGTCTATTATGCGTATTGTATAATTGTACTATACTTGTATTGTACAGGATGACAGTATATAGTAGAATAACGTGCTTGGCACATGGTAGCGGTTTTAAGCAAATTTGGTTAACGAAAGAAAAAAGCTGAGAATTTATCCAGTACTCCCACTCTGTATATTAGCTGCAGCTGCAGCAGAGAGCTGCAGTATCTGAGTCCTCTTACTGACGCACTGGCGTGTTTTGAGTATTGGAATGAGCGATATCTTACAACATTTATGCCTATCGTTAAATTATATTATAACAGATGTTAATTAATTTAAATTTAAAATTAGTTGTTAATTAATTGCAGATCTGATATGCGATGCGCTCTCTACGCTGCAGGAGGCAGCATCCACCGCACAGGACGAGAGTGCTGAAGAAACGTATTACTCGGTGGGCAGACTAGTGTTTAACTTTTTCTTAAGGTAAGTCAAGATCCTTGCATTAAAACTGATGTTTTATACAGTGATAATAAACTGAAAGCTTTCGTAGAGTTGGTCAGCTTTCTTCGGCACTTACAGCTGCCAAAACGCTCAACGATGAGCGTTTGTATAAGGTACGGTGATTTAGCTGCAACGTTACACTTCTAGGAGTGTATATCAGGTTAAAATGCAGCTACGCATAAATCATTGTGGGAGGTTCCATGAATTAGCAGCCGCGGTACATAATTTACTTTTAGCAAGTGTGGCGAGCAGCATGTCGTCGCGGCGAAACTGAGATGATTACCGCCGCTGAGAAGGAGATGACGGAGTACAAAACATCCGAAAAGGAACTGTTCGAATTGTTAGAAACCGACCGTAAGTGGGGTCTCTCAGTCGGATTGGAAACCGGCAATCAACATGTTTTACTGCAGGAAATGATCACGACGAACCGGATTATATGACAATATACCCGACCATCACTCCCACGGCCCCGCCTCTCAGTCCATCACCCCTTCCGCCGCGACTGATACAGCCACCACCAGGAGGACGCTCAGCCAGTCGCCTGTCCAGCGTCTCAACTACTTCGGAACGGTATATACCGACCTTTATGTGGACGGACATGGGAACAGTTTAGTATTGTTTGTTTCTTACGCATGTTTTGTCAAAAGAAAAATGTTGAATTAGCTTTGTTGTACTAATTGTAAGTAATCCGCAAAAGTGACCTCTGCAGTGCATTTTGTGATGGTATGCGACGTGGTATTGTCAATCCCGAAGAGAAACCAGTGGCTGTAACTTGTGTAACAATGCATTACGTATACCTAGTATCATCCGAATAATATAATTGCGTTATTTTGACAATTATCGTTGTTTAGAAACTTTTTCGCTATTTCTTTTTTACAGCCCAATTCGGGTACATTGCTTCCCGTATAGAAGCATACTAATTAAATTTACAAACAAAAGTATCTTGTGCATTGAGTGGTCGCAAATAGAAGTACTAGCCATATTTACTATGCATAACAGTTCTTGTAAAACGATATGCATTTCTGAAGATCTGCGTAATATTTGTACTGGTTGCACCTCGGTGAAGATTGACGAATATCCGGAGACATAAATTTCTTTATGATTACGATATTGTTGTCCTACATAGCGTCATTCCGACTGTGTAAATCTACGTAATGTATTTACTTTTTGCTCGACCAGTTTTGGTAGGTACTTCATGCTTGCATCGACCAGCAGCGACTACCTTAAGCTTACAATCAGCACGTATGATTACCAGTTTTATGGAGCTTACAATCATATCTGAAGTGGCCATTAACGATCTACATGCTCATCTACCACGCAAATTTATAACTACTTATTCAAGCAAACGCTTGTAATTTATGGATGCTTGCAAAAAGTCGAAAGATATACGTTCTGCATTTCGACAATAAACTATAATTGCCAAGCAGTTAAGCAATAATTAATATAATTCCAAAATGCGTGTACGCCGATTGGCGGTCAGCGCACAAGCTCCCTGTTAGAGGACACCGGTGGCTCGCCTGAACAGCATTCTGTCCGCACACGGCACAAAACAAAAACACACCACATCAGCACCGTCGCCGATCGATTCGCGCTTGATTGGTTGTCCTGTTCAATATTGAAAACTTTTTCTACTTGTTGAGGCTATGAACTTGTGAATTCCCAAGGTAATCACGGTTAAATTAATGTCTTTAATTAAAAGAACGAACAGCGTGCTTTAAATATAGCCTCTGTTGTGTTGTGTTGTGTGTGTGTGTGTGAGCGTCGCCGCATGGAAAAAAACGACCCAACATACTCTGCCGGCAACGCATCTCCTGGTGTGCATTTGATCGCGATGTGCACCGAATACCGCCCACTTTGAAGACGCCTTACCCAAGTGAGAGAGAGATGGTCATTATTAAATAAGGTAAGCATAACAGAGCATTCCTAAACGGTGCACTACTGCTTGTAGAAAGAAAAATATCCTGCTCCGACCAGTTGCCTGATCGTCTTTGGTAGACGTGCGCTAAGGAAGCGCAAAAAATATCAGCAGGTGGTGAATAAATTTCTCAAACCGGCGAATATCTCCTCAACCGCCGCTTAAACCACCGTCGCGACATTGCGTGCCTACTTTAAAACCCGTCCATTACGGCTCATACGGACATGTAAAGATTTCCTTCGCTCTCTTTTGGAATGCGCTTTAATAACCTAGTGGAACAAGACGGTGGATTATGTTTGAGAGAGAGAAAGTGAAATTATTATCCTCAACACAACCCTCAGCTGTGTGTTTGTGTGTGTACGCCGAATGAATGGCTAACTTTGATTCACACTTCTTATTGCCGTTTTGTACATGCACACACTTTCCGTGCCGCCATAATCATTCGCTCTGCTGCGCGCACACACTGGAATTTGTTTACCGTTCTTCATTTACCTGTTAGATGAGATGATGGAATTCTTGCTGAATGGGCATATTTTTCTATGTGGATTGGCTATTCTCGCGCTCCACTGATTACGCGCCGGTATGGAATTGGCGTTTATGTGTTATGCCGAAGAGTGAAAACGTTTTATGATATCTTTCACTTTTTTCTTCGTCTCTCGCTCTCTTACCGTCCACAAGTGCAACTGTTAACTGCACAATCTCCTACAAGCGGTTGTATTATTTTCCATGCTGACGGATCTGTTGTCACACGGAGAAAAGTGGAGGGATTTATTGCTGACAGCGGCTGTTTGTCCGCCATCTTTCGCCTTTTCCATTTTGTATTACTATTACTTGAGCGAATTTCGGCCCAGTGAATTCTGTGCATTGGATGCCAGTTGAGCACTTGTTACAATTTAATGTGATTCGCGCTGATCGCTTTTGCCCACAGAAAATGTAACGCTGACCACTTGGGGATTTTTTTCCCGACGCTGTTGTCGATTATCCCCAAGCGATGAGAGACAATGCTTGAGATGTGATGCGGTAAATCGAATTAGCACGTATTCGCTCCGTTAGGGCCTCTTGTGTATTGTTCAGATACTTTCGAAACCGCGTTCTAATGAGTTGGGTTATTTTGCGAAATGACGAATAACTTAATCTTTTAACATTTGAATACATACTATTTCATTTTCACGCTTCGGTGAGTATGTGAATAGTCAGGAGCGTTGCCGTATTTTTACTGTCAATGTGATAATTTCGCTTTTTAATAAGTTCCAGCATTTACCGAACGAATTTAACTGATTAACGATGCCTTTTCGAATAGTGATTGGTCAATCTTGAATTAACGCGGAACTCTTTTCATAATGGTTGTTTCATAAGAAACGGTTTGATTTCTTAATGATTTCTAAAAAACTTTCAAGAGGCCGCACTTAAAGATTGATTGTTGTCAGCGGTCGGTCGGACGAGGAGAACGTCGTGACGGGAAGTGATAATCCACTTACCGATCATCAAACCTTGACTGTATAAACCGTCAACAGTAGCCAGTCGGCGTATTGTGCTGACCGACCGACCGCTGTCTAGCACGCCGCTGTATATGTGAATAATTAATTAATTTACGTAGCCAGGCTCGTTGCTTTCCGATTGGCTTAAGACCTATGCGCGGACTCCTTACAGGTTGATGAATGCTGGATTGTTGAATCGAGTGCAGTCTGTGCGTGGCCATGGCGGTTCCATTGTGCCGGTGTCGGGTGCTGTATTTGGGCTGTGCAGTGCCCAAAATAACCAAAGACGGTCTGCAGGGCATCCAGGATCCCCTGAAGGACATCTATCCCGAGGGCGGGGCCGCCGATGTCACCGGGATCGATGCGTGGCTCAGCGTGTGGAGCAATGGATTACTGTTGGAGTATCTGGATTCGATGGGGCTTACGGTGACGAAATTCATGCCCATTGAGACGCTGCACTACTGTGCGGCGGTGCGCTACGTGGAGGTGACGGCCATTAGCGCGTCCACGCCCATCTCCGAAGTGGTGACTATGCGGTTTTTCCCTCTAGACCATCACCAAGCGGCGGCTAGTCCCCACCATCCGCCGCTGTTTTCCTGTATCATGCGGCGCACATCGGGAATAAAAGTGTTAGAATGTCATGGATTTATCTGTAAGAACGAGATGGCAGCCAATGCCTTGGTTCGCGCATGCTTTCATGCGTTCTCCGACAGTATGCATTTACGTTTGTATGACTTTGTCCCCCGCCAAGCCGTCCCGGTGATCATTCCCAAAACTAAGAGTATTTTTAAGTTTGGCAAGAAATCACGCTCCAAATCACTGGGTCCGCCGCGGCTAATTCCCATGCGGCCGGCCGCCACGGTCAATTTGGATCCTTATGCCAATGTCAATGGCAATTACCGCATCTACAATGACTGGCGATCCCCGTCGACCACCTCATCAGGCACCTCTCGCCCGGTTTATCTGGCCACGCACCCAACACCCCGCTTGGTGAAATCGGCCGGCGGCGATTATCGTTATGCAAGCAACGCAATCTTGTCATCAGCATCCTCATCAGACCGGATTGGCAGTCATCAGCGCAAATACCAGCGCGTATGGTCCGGTAGTAGCCAATCCGGCTCGGAACGTGAGCAGTACATTTACGGGAACAACCAACTTAATGATCATTATTCCACACCATTGACCAACAGCCACACACAGCGACCGACCCGAGCCCGGGCCAACAGTCGGCGCAGTCAGAATGACAGTGATTACGCCGATGTGGTGGTCATGCGTCATCAACTCCGCCACCGATTAGGCTCCACGGACGACGTCTATTCCGCGTCGGCCTGGACCAACCCGATGACCTCATACCAACCCGGCACGAAACCGCCGTCGAGAACGAAAGAAGAGTACTACGAAACCTCGGTGACCGAGACCAAAAAGGGCAAGAAGAACAACGCGAAAATGGAAGAACACGAGCAGAGCAGTGTGACGTATTACCGGACAAATCCGGCACCGTACATGAGCGAATTGGAGCGTACTTTATCCAATGGACAGCATCTGCCCCGGCGGAACTCCGGCTACAAACGCTACGAGTCAATGCCGGATTTAAACAAGATTAACGGTGCGGAAGTGACGAAAGGCCGCGATGAACTGCCGGGTTTGATGAATGGAATGCGATTACAGGGATCAGCTGGCTCGGCTGACCAGACGTCGACCGGCAATACGACACCGATTTCCACGCCGGCTACCTCGCTCAACGATAGCTTACGCGGCCGGAAACGCAACGGCCGACCACGGACGCCCGAGATTCCCGAAGCTGATTATTATCATTGAGTTAATTGAAAACGCACGATTTGTGGTGGGGATCGAGCGGAGCTCGCGATCCCCGTTGATGGGGGAGTGATACATGAGTTGTTGCCGGTACACAAAGTACGTGCCTGGCTAATTACGTGCCTGTTTAAACGGACAAAATCGTGTATGCAGTGTTATGCGATCGGCGAGATGGGTCGGTGCATGGCCGCCTGTAATAAGCGTTAGATCATCGGCATACTGAACTAGCTTGTTTTCCCTAGCTTTGTATAATATGAGATCAGTTGAGGAATTCTTCGGCGTATTATTAAGTATGTACAGATCTAGTTAGAGAATTTAGACAGAGGCGGTGAACGATCGTGATTGTTTGTTTTTCTGATGTTTAGAGAAGAATCCACTTCTTTTCAATGTCCTCTTGCTGCTTCTCGAGTGTATAAATAAATGCACCGTTAAGAGATGTATCATACCGGTACCTTTCAAGAAATTCAGCGCGCGTACTATCAATCGTCGATGCTCCAATTACCCATCAAATCTGCACCTTCGCCAGTTGCAGGCAGCATGAATTGCGTCTTTTCTCGACACATTCCGCTTCGTTTTTCTGTCAAATACGATTAATATAACATAGTATTCAGCTGGAATTTTTTCGTCTGGCGTAGTAGTACCGTAAAAGTGATAAAACCGTTGTAGTACCGGTAGGTTGATCCGTATGTTTATGGTAGCCAGCATATTGTATCAATGCATAAACAACCAGTTTCGCAAGACCCGCCAACCAAAAGATGGCTATTGTACGTGCCATGCTTTGTTGTTGGTGTTAGAGGTGATCTGATGTAATTCTCACGGTCTGCCTTGGCGCCAGTCAAAATATTTTAGTGGTACTTAAACTTGGCCAATGGTCTTGAATTGTTCACCAACTTATCTGCTACGAGCAATACAGTACTTTACAGATACAGTTAATTTTGAGGCACACTGTCTGCATTAAGTGCGTTCCTATTCTTGTTTTTGTCTGTGTTCGCGCAAGCCGAACATAAAACCGAAAAACTATCACAAAAAATTTACATCAATTTCCTATTTGTTATGACGATGATCTTTTTATCAATCTAATGGAAAGGTTAAATGCGAGTACGTTACTGTCATAGTATGACCTTTTCCAGTTACTATATTGACCTTTTTAATAATAAATGCAAGCGCTGGGACACTACTTGATAGTTAGAATTTTAAACTTTAAAAATTATATTGCAAGCTGTGTGCTACCTTCTAAAGTTCTACGCTTTCGAATACCGTATACATGCATACCGTAATTGTAATTAAGGGTTCCTTATGTACATGATGGTTATAAATATATGGACGGACACTGAGCGGAAAAACAAAATTGCCGATACTTTTTAACGTCCATTTTGACTAGCGTTTTAATGTTCATCCGTACCTGTTCATCTGTGCTCACTGCTTACATAGGGCATTCCAGGTAGTATAATTACTTATAGACCTATTTTTTGACTTGGAGATCACATACAGTGTATCTGGGGTCACAAAATCCTTACACAATTGGATGATTTCTAGCTAACTTTGCTCATCCAGTAAATCTATGCAGGAAAGTACAAAGGAAAGGCATTTTTGAGAAATAATAATAAATTATACTTGCAATCTGACAACGGTTACGGTAGCTGGATGTTTATATACTGTAATCGGAGTGGCGAACACATTTTCCAAATACTGGATACCTTTGACATTAGTTTTCTATGGAAAACTGTGGCTGCTTGTATAAATATGAGTGCTGCTAGAATGCGTACCCTACCACAGTATTCGACTCTGAAATGCCGAACAGTTTCGCACCTGTAGGTCTACAATCAGCTCAGAAGAAAACGATTACTTGTTATCCACCACCAGAAACGTGTTCGATTGAATCGATTCATAAAGTTTTTACATATGAAAAACATCCCATGTACTGGACTATACTCGATGACTATCCGACAAAACTGAAGACCTTAGTCGGCGACGAAAAACTGTTAGCGTTCTGTGCATCTTTATTAATCTGGCTGGTTACGAGACAGCAACAAAAATTTAGCATTCGCTTTGGCACAAATGTCACAATCTGGGATAAAAAGCACAAGCCGTAGGAGCAACGCAGAACGGATTAATCGAAATTGTTAAGCGTCAGTCTGTTCGTTATCAAAATAACTTTTACGACTATTGCAGCGCAGAACGTTCGCTATCGGCTAACGATACGATATCCTCTTCTTCTTCTTCCACTCTTCGTACAGTTCTGCAATCAACAGTTAATTAATGTATGTATTAATGTGTGCAAGGAGAAAGGTTCGGAGAAAATAACCGCGGCGCACCTCGTTGTCGTGGTTTCCTCAATAATTGCATCCGACAGGCTCCACGTGTCATCATCCGCGCGACCTTTGAATTTCTCGAGGATTTTATCGGGTGAATCTTCGATCTGCATTAGAATGTCACCCTCCACAGGGATGTCTTCCTCTCTAACGGCAACCTCCCTCCACTGACCATCAATCAGTTTCCGAACGACAGTGCGCTTCGTGCGTTTCGTTTCCGGCGAAACAGCATCTCCACGCCTAGAAAACCGCCAAAATCAACAACACTATAACAGCACAACGGAAACCTGGCATTCCATTACCTCGCAAACGATGTATCTCTGGTTTCTTCTTCCGCTCCATCCGTCCGTCGTAATGTCCGGCTGGTTTTTTCCAGCTCTTCTAGACTAACCGCATCACCCAGATTCTTCCGCTTCAGCTGCCCATAAGCTGCACTTCCCCCTCGTCGACTCCCCGACAAACTAGGCAGACTCTGCGACATACTGGCGTACGCTTCCAGGTTAGACTGAACGGCCGACGTCCCGCTCTCTTTCATGGCTTGGTCGCTGTGGAAACGGCTCTCTTCAATGGTCTCCTTCGTTTCCGTTGCATGCCGCTTATAACTCTTCATTCCTTCCGTCTCCTCGCTGTGGCCGAGGGCAGCGGCGGATAGCTGTAACGTATCCCACTTCCGTAAAGGCGACGTATCGGCTGCGGTGCGCCGACGTTGATTGTTCTTTTCGATGGCACGTTCCAGTGCGGCTTCCAGCGGTGTTTCCTCCGGGAGATTGCCTAAATGTCGTTTCACAGGCACATCTCGGGCGTACATGGTGGACTTCTTTCTTTCTTCGGCGATGCGCACCCATTCCGGCTTGTCGTCTTCGGGTTCCGCTGTGTAAGCGGGCACCGTACGATGCGGCGCAGCAACGGATGTGACACGACGCCGTCCTTCTTGTGACGCCTCCGAGTAGCTGCGCTGCGACTCACTGCTTTTTTGGGTGACGGTAGTTTCCGTTTCCATTCCAATTGGACGATATCTTGCTTCACGGCTCAACGGTCGTGTGGATAATTCCCGTTCCAACTCATTGGCTGCTTCTTCGAATTCTCTGAACACCCCGCTCTCGTCCGACCCTCGGCGTCTGCCAGAAACATCGCGAAACATGGATCCGCCTTGTGTTTCTACAATTTCTCGTTCTTGACGAATCCGCGCGGTGGTTTCAGTAATTCGTTCGTACACTTCCGCCTCTGGGGATAACACCTGCCCAGCGACTTCCTGTCGCTCATCTTTCTTCAGCGTGAAAATCTTTTCAGGATACTGTTTATTTTGGAGAATATCGCGTTCCATAGATGAGCGTAACTTGTCCGGACTGCCGGGTTTCTTCCACGGCGAATCCCTGGACGGTTCAGGCAGTTCCCTCACCGCTGACATCGGGGTTGTCTCGCGCGAATACCCACCCGGGGTGGCCATTACCGGTGTTGGTGTAACCGGCGGCGTGGACCAGGGCGGTGTGGCCGACATGGTTTTGACGCTCTCGGGTGGTGAGCGTTTGCGTGACTCCGCATACATTTCCAGCGGGCCACCATGGCCGTCGTGTCGCTTATGAATCTCCGAGCCGTCCAGCGTCGCGTGGTAGGTGAAACCGTATGTACCCATCTCGGCGGACATAGGCGACCCGTGTCCGTCGACCTGTGCTTCGTAGACAAACCCCGAATACTCGGTTAAGGGCGGACTAGGCTGCTGTGGACTAGCGGAATACTGGAATCCCCCGGTGGCCGGCGAGAATGTGCGGGCCGTCGGTGGGGAGGGGGCCATGTACATCTGGCTTTTGATTCGAGGTTTGACGTTCATACTGATGGCCGACACTTCTAGATCCATGAACTCTTCGTCAATGGCCAAGTGTTGTTCCGCTAACCATTTCTTCTCGTCTGGAAGTATCACATCCTTCTCCTTTAAAATCCCCCCTAGAAATATCACACCGGTTGCAAAACAATCACGGTAGTTACCCTTTTTTAATAAAGCATGCGTGCTCAAGCAAAGCAAAAGTGTGCAGAAATAATGGTGCAAAATTTCGATATCCCGCATTCCCTTCCGCTCCCAAAGCGTTCTGCCCCCAATAAGTGCTCTTCCCTGCGGTGATAAATACCCGCATGAGATCTAGAGTTTCATCCTTCCCATCACCTCCTCCCAACCGCGCCTGCATCTCCTGTAATGTCGGTCGTCGACCTTTCCCTTCGCTGATCACTGTCGACCGGCGTTTGGCCGGTCGCGTGACTTTTATTTCCTCTACTGGTTCTGGAACGAACGTTCCCCTCGTCGAACCGAATATATCGTCATCTAATTCGCCACCGCTAAAAATATCAGGAGAAAACAGCGGCGAACGGACCTCTGGCTCCGGTTCCTTGGGCGGTGGCGGGGGTTCTGGTTTGGGGGGTTCGGGTTCAACAGGGGGTAGTGGTGGCGGAGGCGGTTCGGCAATGACAACTTTTTTGGCCGGTTTTGTTTTGGGCTTCTTTTTATCACGCGGATCCAGAGAGGGTAGATAGGATCTGTCGCCCATAGCTTCCTCTTTACGTATTCGTGCCATCGAAGCAGGAGACAGCGAAGCCCGCGCAGCCTTTCGGCGATTTTCCCATCTAATCCTTTTTAATTTTCTAATTTTGGCCTCCAGCAAAACCGATTCCCAGCGAGGATCAAGTTTGCCACTATCGCCATGAAAACCAAAGGGAGACGGGTTCCGCGATCCGGGAAGGCTCATACTGAATGTCACATCCCGTTCAATCTTATTCAGATGTTTGGTAAACTGTAATTCCGCTTCCTCCCCATCACTCTCGTCCTTGGACGACACATTTTCATCATCGAAATCCCGTTTGTGTAATAGACCGATATATGCCCCGATTCGTTCGCGTTCTTCGTACGTGTAAACACCTTGAAAAGTGGACGGATACAACGTCTGACCTTCTTCGTCGGAGCTGCTGTCTAGGCCAGAATCTTTATAGGCCAACAGTCGATTCGTAAGGGAGCGCCTCTTCCGTGCGTAATGAACTAGCTCGGCGAAATCAACTGGGAAAAATAGATTAGCAACATGCATCAAGGACTAGTAGATCAGTTAGTATATGGCCATTAAGCATTAGAAGCCAAATTCGAAATACAACAGTTTCCCGTTGAAGGCCTTACCATGCCCGATATGGCGTTCGCCCTGGGTGCCCACTTGTAAGTGACGCGTCTCATCCAGCCATTCCGGATGCGGTCCTTCATAATCACCAGGACGCCGAGGATGATCGGGCACATCAAACTGGGAGGCATCACGGTAAACGCGATCCTTGCGCTGCTCCGAGCTGGTGCGCTCCCATATGCCTCGTTCATTGATGCGGCCGTACGTCTCGTGCTCTTCTAGGCGTGACATACGTGACCCATGGGTAGACTGCTCGAAACGTTCTATCATCGCTTCGGTCTGAGATTTCTTGGAGGCGGGGAAGATTTCTCGAAGTGCGAAAAGTAGCTGACGTTGCTGTTCCGATGTTAGTGGAGGACTGACCTACAACAAATGATACCCATTTTAGCGCCAATACGCTAATGGTCGTGCAATTAATTCCATTTCAAACATATTTATACACAAACTATGGTAATCGTTAAAAAACAATGAAAAGTTCGTTTTTGCTAAACTGTTAGTGCGGTCCACTGCATTACAAATCACATACAATGTAAGGAAAGTGCGTCGGAAAGTAAACAATACTTACTTGGGTCATAGCATAGATTAACTGCTTCTCCAACCTGGATGTCAGCGTGAAAATATCGGAGCTGGCCGTCAGTAGTTGTTGTTGCTGTCGAGTGGTCAACGGTGGAATGATCAGATCGCTTCCGGTTAGTAGCTGTCGCTGCTGACGCACAGTCATCGGCGGCAGAAGCTGTACCAGCACATTAAGGATTCTGCGTTGCTGTTGCTCGGTTAAGCGGGGGAAAATGTCACGGCTGGCAATAAGGAGCTGGTGCTGTTGTTTATGGGTCAGCGGCGGTTGAATGTCGGCGAAGGCAGCCAACATTGCGTGTTCGACATCCAGCTCGATGGAAGTGATATCGACGTCCCGGAGATTGATATCCAAAGACTGGAATTCAGCGGCCTCATCTGGTTTAACATGTGTTATGTACAAAAAGCCGAATGTTCCCAGCGCTTTCGGCTGATAAGCTGTGGCTGTTAATTCCTGCGAAAAAAGCGGAAATACTGTTGAAAAATAATAAAAAATTATTGTGTGACCTTTGCCCAAAATGCACATTTCAAGGTTAGTCATATATTGTACCGCAAGTGGACAAGTAATTAAACATTTACCTGCAAAATCTGAGCAATTTTTGAAGGGGCTGGGAACAAGCGGTTAATACCGTTCAAAAACTGCTGCTGTTGGGACACACTGAGGGGCGGATAGATATTCTCAACCACATGCACCAATTCTAATTCATCCCTAACTGACATAGGGACAATTCCCGCGCTGGCTCGCAGCAACTGCTCTTGTTGCTGATTGGTCAAAGGCGGTGAAATATCATTTCCACCCAACAACTGATGTAGCTGCAGCGGCGACAGAGGCGGGTGCACTTCGAATAGCGCCTTTAACAGTTTCTGCTGCTGGCTTTCTTCCAGTACCGGTATCAACTTGACAGCCGCGTTGAACAGTTCTTCTTCCTGTTGGACACTCAACGCCGGTTGAATCTCGTCTAGTACACTGAGTACCGCTTTTTTAGCATCGAGTTCGATCGTGCGAAAGTCGATTTCCGTCATGTTAACAGGGCGACCACTGACCAACGCCAAGGAATCCACATGGGCCATGTACAGGTATCCGTACACACCCAGGGCGCGTGATAACTGCGGCGTAGCCGGACGATGTCTTGAATCGGCGGAACGAGCTCGAGGTGTCCGTCGCCCGGTTGTGAATGGTGCTGGGACCCGATCCAGCTAACAAACGAGAATATTCAGCTTATACAATACAAAGAAGCTGATCAATGCACACGAAAAAAATGATGTATAGTTAATGTTTATCAATATTTCATAAATGGTTTTTCAATAATGCCATAATCCTAAAATGACACGGAAAGCAAAATCGGGAACTATTGCCAATTAGACAATGGCGATATTTAAACTGTACAACACTTAAGCAGAATAAGTAGAAAAACTGCCATCAGATAATTGACTGATTAGTCAATTACCTTCAAAATTTCCATTACTCTTTCCAGTGTGGGGAACAGCATGCTGATGGCATGCTTGTACTGCTTCTGTTGTGAGGGCGTTAATTTCGGGTATGCATTCGCTGCGATGTAGTCCAGTGTCCGTTCTTGCTCTTCCGTAATTGACAGGATTTCGGCGCTGGCAATTAAAAGAAGTTCCCGCTGTTCCTCTGTTAACGGTGGGGAGACTTTTCTCCCCGCTAGGATCTGCTGCATCTGCATGTTGGTCAGGTCAGGCGTAATTAATGAAAGAACATTAAGGATTTGTTTTTGTTGAGTCTGGGTCAGCTCGGAGAACACTTCCACCGTAGCGTCGAACAATTCGGTGATCTGGTTAGTGGATAATGCCGGTTGGATGTCCGACAAAGCGGAGAGAACGGCTTTTCGAATATCCAGTTGAATACTGGATGCATTAACTGTGTCCGGACTGAATGGACGCGACGAGTGTGCATCTACGTGGGTAGTATACAGGAACCCGTACAGTCCAATCGGTGGCTGCTGGGACATCGTAGAGGTAGTTGTTTCAGTTCGTGAAGTGTACTTGTTATTGACTGATCGATCAATCTGTGAGAATACAAAAATAAATCAGTATACAAATTTTCTGTCACTGTATTCACGGGAGGACCGTTCAACAAATTTTGAGAGCAAAAATTACTAACAATAAGCGATGCGCCGATCAGTGGTGATCAGTAGCCTGTTGGTTTGCAAGGAGAAGACTAACAGAAAGTACCGGTCTCCTTGGCCTACCTGAATTAACTCGCGGGCATTCTGCAGATTAGGAAACAGCAGACTAATTGCCCTGACGTATTGCTTCTGCTGGTCAACGGTCAATCTGGGATACACATTGGCCGCAATGTACTCTAGTGCATCTTCTTGTTCTCCCGTGACCGCAAATACTTCTGTGCTTCCTATCAACAATGCTTCCCTCTGTTCTGCGGTGAGCGGCGGCACCACAGTCTCGCCATGTAGAATCTGCTGTTGTTGCGTCGGCGTCAGAGCCGGCACGATCCGCGAAAGCACACTGAGTGTCTGGCGTTGTTGGATGGTGTTCAGTTCCGTTAGCGTCTCTACCGTTGCACCAAAGAGTTCCGAAATTTGCTGTGGTAACAGGGGCGGGTGAACTTCGGAAAGTGCCGACATGACGGCTTTCCGAATGTCCAGACGAATGGAGGAAGAGTCGAAAATCTCCAGTCGAAACGGACGGGTGGTATGAGCGTCAACGTGAGTGGTGTAAAGGTAACCGTAAATACCCAGCGCCAATGGCTGGGGACGGGAAGTGGGAGACGGAGTGACGCCGGTGTGGACGGTGTGTCTCTTCCGGCGAAGATCTTCGCTGACTTCTTGCGAACGACTCGTCTACAAAGAAAACAACTAAAATATTTTTCTGTTTTAGTTACTGCGAAAATGTTCTGAGAAAACCCTAGCATCTGCATTAGTACGTAAGGTGCAGTAAATAAATAGCAATAAGTTTGACACTAGTTTATGGCAATTACTATTTAAAGCGGCACACATCCTCGGGCCGGTGGTGACTGTACCTCGATTATTTGCTGTACAGTCTCCAGCGTCGGGAATAGCATAGTAATCGCCCACATAAACTGCTTCTGCTGCGACTCCGTCAGTCGTGGCTGCACATTAGCCCCAACGTATTCAAGCGCCTGTCGCTGTTCTCTGGTCAAAATAAAGGTTTCCGCGCTGGACACCAACAGTGTTTCCTTCTGTTCCCACGTCAGTCCCGGTACGATTTCGCTGCCCGTTAACAACTGCTGCATCTGGGAAATGCTGAGCGGCGGGTGAACATGTGATAGCGCGTGCCGTATGTCGCGCTGCTGGGTCACATTCAATGTACCGATAATCTCCACTGCGGTGGTGAACAGTTCGGTTGTCTGCTGAGTGGAGAGTGGGGGTTGGATGTGCGATAGGGCGGATAGGACGGCTTTCCGGATGTCCAGCTGGATGGTCGAGGTGTCTAGTTTCTCCACAGAAAAGTGCCGCGTGGTCGTATCTACGGTGCTCGTGTAGAGGAAACCGTAAATTCCCAATGCCGGGAGAGGTGGCTGAACCGTTGGAGCAGGATGGACTTCGGTGCGAGAAGTTTGCTTTCGCCGGTGAACGGTGGTGGTTTCTTCGGTGCGGCGTAGTTGTTCCAGCTGAAAAAGTTTTATGACAGCGCAGTCAATATTTTTGTACTATTAAAGAGGTAAAATACTAGAGCAGGTAAAACACCTGCATAGAAACCTTTGGACACTTCAAATTCGCCAAGTAAAAACACTAATAAAATAAATAGGAAAAAACTCAGCAGTTAACCACTTACGCGGTCACTAACTATGTCTTCATAGCCATCGCTAATATTCATGATGGTTTCACCATAGTCGCCGTATACGATATCAATTCGAGTCACCATTGTTCCATAAAAAATCAACGTTTGCCCATATCTCTATAATACTCCACTGACTGCACTGATGCAAGATATTAGGTACCTATCCTTTATCAACCACCTAAAAACATCCCCACACCGCCTGACGGAAATGGCTGAGCACACAGACTGACGGTTTCCTGTAGTGGACTCTAGTCTATACAATTACGTGAGACGGCGCGCTATATTGGTTAAGCAGAGAAAATCTATTCATACCGCTGAGATAACAATAATGATCTTTTGTGATCATCATTTTCCAGCCCGATCCATATCCTCACAAACAAGACACCAGCAAAAACCCTTTTATATTCTCGTTTAGGAAAGGCCATCGCCAAACATTTCACCATTGTTGCTTTGTATTATGTAAGCCGCACGTGCATAATCGCTACCGAAGAGACTGAAGGCGAAGACCACTTCAGCCGGGCCAGACCGGTTTGAAAACTGTTTACGGAAGGCATTTAACTCAGGTGTTAATAGGATTTCCGTCCGCCATATAATGGTTTTTGCGGGTCTCATAAATTATTATTGAATTTGGGTGTCATTATGATTAAAAATATCTTAGACACTCATGATACCCATGCAAAATTAATGTGTGCTAAAACCTAAAATGAATGAAATCCTGTCTGTGCACCGCGGTATACTCAAGCGTATTTCGAAAAATCTGCTCGTATTTGGTAGGATGGCAGAGCACAACGGAAAACGTAAAGTTGTCTGCCCGCTTTAAAAATCGATCATAATATTTTTATTGTATTATGAGTAAACTAATCTAATTTCACAGTTTCACCAGGTAGAAATATGATGTCACCCCAAAATAAAATATTAAAAGCAGACAGAATAAATTCTGACTTACCCGTATCATCCGCTCCGCTTTCTCCGGCGAGGGGAACAACCCCGTAACATGTTCAACGATCTGTTCCTTCTGTTCAGCTGTCAGTTCAGGTTTAATATTGACCATGCTATATAATAACTTCCGCTCCTGCTCGATCGTAATCGAGACAATCCTGGCACTGGCCAACAGTAGCTGGCTCTCCTGTTCTACCGTTAACGCTTCAGTAATCTCCTCTTTTCCGCTCAGAATTTCCACCTGCTGCTGCGCCGTCAGTGGCGGAACAATATCCGAAATGGCCCGCAATAATCTTTCCTGCTGTTCGTCTCGTAACGGCTCGAAAACCAGGTCGGTGGCCACAACCAGCTGTTCTATTTGTTCGCGCGTAAGAGGTGGGTGGACGTGAGCAGCAGCTGTGCGAACGACGTGGTGGAAGTCCAGTTCGATGTAGGTAGAGTCCATGGTGCGGATATTGATCGGTTCTCCCCGCAAGGCTGATTCGGCTTTGTGGTCAACATGCGTAAGGTAGAGAAAACCGTATGTGCCGGTGGGATGCAGAATGGGGAGGGTGCTGGATGGGCGGATGTGGTCAGTCGTCACATGCTTAACAGGACGCTTAGAGGGTTGGGGAAGAGGGGCTATTTCTACATCTTCCAACTACAACATTTCCAGTTACAAATTATGCCGCAAGTCATTTTAAACGATAACCGAAAACTTTTTTGCTAAAAATAAGCAATTCTTGAATGTAAATAACATCTTCTTTTCAAGGTAGTCAATATTGTAGCAGCCGAATTAACCACATTTTTCACCCAAAACAGTGACGGTAAAAAAATTTCTAAAGTATATCACCAAAGCCATTCTCCGTTAGTAAAGCTATTTTAAAACCCTTCAAACGCATGGAATTTCGAAATTAATAAGCAAAAGAGTTCCAGCACTAATTAGCATTGCAAGTGCCAGAAAGCGTGAGATTACAGTGGCTTATTAGGGGGCAATTAAATTAAGTAAAAACAATCGGAACCAGGCTTTATTTTCACACAAACCTCCACATAATAAGTACTTTTGTATATGTACTCTTTCAGCTCTTTGATTACACAAAAGAAATTGAAACGCACCTGTATTAACTGTTCCACTCTCTCCGGTGGCGGGAAAAATTCTTCCAGACTATTCAGAAGTTGCAGCTGCTGTTCCGGCGACAACGGCGGGACAATCCTCGTTGACGCTCTCAGCAGCATTTTTTCTTGATGTTCCGTGATTGTTATGATCTCAGCACTAGCAATCATCAACTGCCGCTGCTGCCCAGGGGTCAACGGCGGATGGATCTCCTCATCCAAAAATAGCTGCTCCTGTTGTCTGACTGTTAAGGGTGGACGAATCTCTGTCAGAACATCCAGCAATCGTCGCTGTTGCGTAACAGTCAACGGTGGAAAGACCTCACTGGCGGTGGTAATTAGCTGTTGCTCTTGTTCCATGGTAAGAGCTGGCTGGATATGACTAACAGCCGACAATAGCACTTGCTGGACATCCAGGTCGATGGATTTAATGGTGACTTCGATGGGCTGGCCGGGCTGTTCGCGAGCTGGTTTAGCGGGTTGTACGTGCGTGACGTACAGGAATCCATAGGTGCCCAGTTCTTTTGGCAACGTCTGACCGGTGGGGGCCAGCTCCAGCTTACCACTCCATGTTTTACGGGGAATGCGCCAAGAGGGCGTGGGAAGGGTCGGCTGTGGCGGTTGTGGAAACTCCAGCTGAAAGCGTTATGTTCAAGTATTACAAGTTAAGCAAACAACTACTGAGGAAATACAATGAAGAGTATCAAACACATTTTTTAAAAATATACTAAACTCTTCTAGCTGATTAATTAATTAAGTACTTCACTAACATTGTAAAGCGTACTTTTTGTGAAACTATCGAGTCTACTATTAACATTATTAATTTCTTGTCCAACAATAACTTTTTGTGTTTTCCAGAAGTAGTAATTGTTTGGTACAAAACATTAAGCATGTAACAAAGAATTTGTAATTCGAAGAAGGCAGGCAACTTTTTCGAAAATACTGCAAGATGGCATAATTTTCTAAATGTGGACGTATGTGTTCTAGTGTACACTGTACAGTGTAATTCGCTGACACCGCACCTCGATATCCTTTACGGCCCTTTGAGCGGGAAAAACCTCGGCAATGGCAGATAACAACTGCCGTTGTTGCTCCGGCGCCAACGGTGGAACAATTTCCACACTTGCCCGAACCACCTGTCGCTGCTGTTCAACGGTAAATGTCGGTACAATTTCCGCAGTAGCAATGGATAACTGCACATGCTGTTCCCGTGTCAGAGCCGGCACCACTTCTTCCGCGCCCGTCAGCAACTGGTATTGTTGTTGCGGGGTCAGTGGTGGCACAATCTCCACCATGGCGTTCAGGAGGCTCTGCTGTTGACCTTCCGTTAAGGGCGGGAAAACTTCGGCCGTTGCAGTGAGCAGCTGTTCTTGTTGTGTTATCGTTAAAGGCGGCTGGATTTCGGAAAAGGCGGCAAGCAAGACTTGTTGGACATCTAGCTCGATGTAGTTCAATTCCGTTTCGCGAACAATCTGGGATGTTTCGTATGCTTCTTGAATCACAATCGACTGAGTGGGAGGCAATAGTTTGGGCTCTAGTGTGGCAATGTAAAGAAAACCGTAGGTAGCGACTGATTTGGGCAGTGGCTTTCCTGTCGGTTCCGGGGTCACCTTTTCGCTTCCCGTTAACTTTGGAATACGACCAGAGACTGGAGGCGGTCGGACCGGTGGAATAGGAGGCTTCTTTAACTATATAAGGACAAAATTATTCGGTGACCAACCCTTGAAGCGTGCCCAGGAAGTCAGTGACTGAAATGAATGATTAAATCCATGAAATTCATACCTGTAGTTTTGCTTCGGCCCTTTGCGGTCGACGCAGCGGTGTCCGCTGGTAGCTCGACTTCCAGCGCTCTTCTTCTTCAGCAGTCAGACCGAGTTCGGTATGATGAGTTGGTACGGCTGTAATATTGTTTGCTTATCAAATGATTTGATAAACGAAAAGAAAAGCCAACCACGTAACCAAGAACTAACGAAATTTAATTCCACATCCCAAAAAAATGCAGTTAAATACTATGCACTGTTCGATTAGCCTTAAACAAAATATAAAAGAGATAGCAAAGATTTACCTTCGGCAATAATTTTTCGAATCATTTCGCTGATTTGATTCTTCAACGGTGGCGGAGGTGGCAAGACGACCTTCTCAGTGCTTTCCACTCGTTTCTTATCTTCCACACGGCTGCGTACGTGTTCGTCCCGGACCTGCGTTGTCGTAACGGTTTCCTTTTTGGGTTTCGTAACCTTTTTCTCCACCGTCTCCTGCACGCTCAGCCGTTCTTCTTCATCCTCCCCGAAATAATAGCGCGGTGTAACGTCGGCATGAGTCGGCACCACGGGTGGCTTTTTCACCGGTCGCACTTCTTTGGGCGGTGACACCTCCACCGCCGCCGTAACCCTGGTCGGCGTAATGATTTCGGTGTTGGCGGTCAATTCCGGATGGCGCGGAGGTGATACCGCGCGCGGCTCACCAAAGCTGGACTCACTCTCGGAAATCTCCTCCACCACCGCACCTTCTCGGACATACCAGTCGATCTTCTCCACAAGTTCTTCCCTGACTTCCGTAGGGGTTTCGATTATGTGGAAATCAATGGCTTTTTCTCGTTCAGGTGTTTTCGCATCCAGAGTCGCCTGATAAACATAACCATATGTTCCCAGAGAATGCGGCAGAGGCTGTCCAGTTGGTTCCGGCACTATCGTCTCCAAATTAACGTGTTTCTCGACGCGACCGGAAGTGGGCGGTAGTTTCGCAGGTGGAGGCCCTTTCACCTGAAAATCATCTATTAAACTATCGAATTTTAATATTGAGGCCTATTTTTATTTCATACTTCGACATGTTCTTCGACGCGTTCTCGCTTCTCATGTGGAGTATAATCAACAGTGGTCTCGTAGATGCGTTTGGGAATGGGCACCAAATCAACTTCGGTGTGGTGCGCTTCGGTGGCTGAAAATAAATACGTCAATAAAACAAGCTGTTGTGCCCTGCAGACTGCAAGCAATTGGGGCTTACCATCTATAGCAGTAGTCAGTGATGTTCGCCGCGGAAGAGGTGGTACCACCTCAGTCTTGGCTTCCAAGAATGTCGGCGTCTGAATTTCCACATCGGCGGTGATCTTGGGAGGCGACTCCCTTACCTCCACGATTCTCTCTAATACATCCACTCTCCTCATATCTTCCCGCGTGAAAATTGGCCGCTGCGGCGGTGGCAAAACGACTCGTTTCATTTCTTCTACCCTGACATCTTCTTCGTAGTGATAGTGATCGTCCGGCATGGGTCGAGTGTGTTGTACAACCTGTTGCATAACACGCACATCCTCCCGCACCTGGGTGACGGTTTCTTCTCGCAACGGTGCCGGCGAAGGAGTGATGAATTGCCGGTATTCATCGACACGCAGGTCCTCCGCATACTGTTGCGTATATTCCGGAACCGGTTCAATGGGCTGTCTTCGATATTGCTCGATTTGACGCACGTCTTCTCTGACCCTTGTGGTAACTGTTTCCTCTCGCAGTGGTGCCGGTGAGGGCGTGATGATCTCCCGCAGTTCCTCCAGTCGCGTATCTTCTTCGTAATGCTGAGAATATTCCGGAACCGGCTCCAGCACTGTTCTCCTCACCTCCTCCGTCGTTTTCACATCCTCCACGGTGCGCGAATAGCGCGGTACAATTTCCGGCGTGATAATCGTGGAATCGGAGATAACCGACACCGGTCGCGGTGAAGGAGCTTTAATCAGCGGCTCCTCCAGTCCGAAAGTCACAGCCACCGGCAACTCGGCCGGGACCACTCGCGTTTCTTCAAAGGTGATTTTTTCGATTGGTATCGGCTCAACTGGAGGCAGCGGCTCAATGCCTAGTGTCAAGCTCACATCTCTAGTGACTTCTCGATCTTCGTGGAAAGTCACCTTTTCGGCTTGCGCCACAGGTAGCGGCTGCATGCCCAACGTGAGACTAACATCCCGTGTTATCTCCCGATCTTCCCGGAACATCATTTTGTCAACTGGCTGACGATAAATATCTTCTCGCACTTCTTTTCTCTCATAGATCTCCGTCCGTTCGGCTGTCCGCTTGTGCCGTTCCTGCTCCTGCTGCAAGCCGATGACAAAGTTCACATCATGCTCGCGCTTGATTTCCTCTTCAAAATGGAACTTATACGCAGGCAACGGGGCACGGGATGTCACCACATCCTGTTGGGTGTCGATGGCCAGTTTCACCGAGACATCCCGTCGCGGTGCTTCACGGATTTCATCAAACACAAACTTATCCTCCCGCACCGTGGTCTCCGTCGTGGTACGTGCCTGGTGCGCCATGCCCAGTGTCAGTGAAACATCATGTAACCTTTCGCGGGTCTCTTCGAAGGTGATCTTCTCCGAGGGCTGCTGCTGCGCTCCCTGCCAGGTGTACTCTCGTGTCTCTTTACCGACACCGGGCACATCGTAACTGATGGTGATCTGCCGTTGATTCTCGCGAGTCTCTTGGTAGGTCACTTTCTCAGACGCCGATTTCTTGTAACCTTTCGTGTCGGTTACTCGCGTAAAGCCGGTACGAGCAGCTTTGTCGCTTTGGTGCACCAATGTCTCCTCGTCGGTTACGGCCACAGGGAAGGGCCTGTCCGTAGGCTCCGTAACGATACCGTGGACGGGTTCTTGTTCGCCGTTAACGGTAATGAGCGTACTGCCACTAGGGACAGTTACGATCTCCTCGATGCGCGGAGTGGGGCTTTTGGCGCTCGGGCGAACGTAATGGAGGTGTCTGCATTGATAGGTAATCTTAAAACAGTGGTGGCTAAGATAGGCAATACGTACTCCTGTTTTTTAAAGAAAACATTCTTTAAAGAAATCAAAAACAACAAGACGGCTTAAAATTAACTAAAAGCGAAGTTTTAGAAGTATTTTTATCATGTGCGACTGCGAATCAAGTTAATGTTATACAATATAGAAGTACTACGTACGGAAACAGCTTTCGCACCTCATTACACTAGTACTGCCGATGCCGCGGTACAACTGTCAAGAAAATTTAACCAAAATTATCTGCGCTATGGCTAAAAATCGCTTTTCTAAAAGATTAAATAATTTAATTTCTTTTTTTTCGTATGAGTAGCTTACGTTTCTCCAGAGAAATGTTGATCAATATTGTGTACCCAGTCCGGTTTGCGCGACGTGTCAACATAATTCACCAGCACTTGCTGGTCACGGGTCATCTGCTGCTGTTTAACGGAAGCCGTCTGCAATGTGCCAAATCAAACTAATAAATACATGCATCCCGCCATTAGGAATTATGGATAAGTAAATGTTCCGCATACCCGCGTTTTATTGGCGTGTGTCTGCGTCTGCTGGCGGGTAAAGTGCGATTGTGTCATGTTGGTCGGCAATGTAATATCCGAGGTACTCAAAACATCATCCGGTGCGTTTTCTATGGGAAGCAGTAAAATCAAACCCTCCATCGCCAAACAATTATAATATGCTTACAAATTTAAAAAAAAATGGAATTAACAAAAAATAAATACAAATTACACGAAAATTCGGAAACGACAGCAATCAAAATAATGGTGCGAGTTATTTACGCGCCAGTCAAACGCAGAAGAAACAATTTTTCGTTAGTTTTCAAAATGACAGCAGAACTTATGCTGTGCTAACCGGCCTACTCCGTACTAATCTTTGCAGTTATAAAACAGCTGACGGAGTAGAAAATTCATGAAAGCGCGCAGATGAGTGAGAAAGCGGAAGATGGTCGAATAAATACTGGCTACGTAATATTACGCATGCAACAGGTAATACCGGTGGTGTGGTGTGACATATGGAGCATGCGAGAGATTTGCTCTTGTAACATCCACGCGACAAATTATCCGATGTGTATTTGCACAGAAAGATGTACACCAATTGACTAATCAGTCCACCTACCATCGCCAAAATGATGCTTGACAGGATTACGCGACGGTGGCCGACGCAAACCCATACTGCCACCTTGCGCCAAGTTACCACGGTCCCGCAGGATGCGATTATCCAGCAAATGCTCTCCAGGCTACCAAAAAGCGTTCAGTGTAATTATTTATTTCAGTTTTACAATTTCCATAAAGAGAATGAGGCGCAATACGCGAGCAAAATTCTGATAACTAAACACCCTAGCTGTCACCAAACACCAAGACTAAATTAAGATGATTCTGTTAAAAGGTACATAACGAATACCGGTACAAATGAATCATATGATAATATGTTTTCTTCTTACGGTAATTTTATAAGTAATGCCGGTATCAGATCCACATTTATGTATCACAGTATCGTACAGACGAAGAGACATAAATATACACTGATACCTATACGAACACATGCACTGAGCATACCGAGTTGTTTTCTAATGGTATAAACCGCTCTTTAGTCTATACATGAATGTACAAGCCCGTTTTCAAACCTATAGACCGCTGTAAGCGGGATATTTGAAAAACGTGGGCTTGAGCCATTCAAGGTGATTCGGCACATCACGGCGTATTGGTCGTTAACGCCACTGCTAACATATTTTCGTCTGGGAAACGATTAGGTATAAAGTAATCAACAGAGCTTCATAACTCCAGATTCGGTAACCGGCATCTGCTTTAAAATACTTGCCCTTATACTGCTCTGAAACAATGCTATGCAGTAATTCAGACGTTCCAGTAATTAACCTGTATTATTTCGCAAGAGATCAACGAGGCTGCCAAAATGATTAATAAAAATTACCAAAAATAGCCTGGCAGTTAGTTTTTCTAACCGTCACCTGCGTCCGTTAACACACAGCCCACATGTCCATTTCGACACACAGCGTGCAATTAGCCATCTGAATTACCGTCACATCAATCAAACACCATTTCAAAAATCATTAAATTCCTGAATTGATTATCATGAACATTTCCTGCATTCCGACCTGTTGGATAACCATAAAACGTCTAGGATGCGTGCAGCACAAGCACCGTAACAATGGCATCGCAAAACGCGCGCCGCCACAGAATGATTGATAAATGTATGTAACTGCACTTCACACCTACGGGAAAAAGTGCACTGCGATATTGTATACCTTGATATCGGATAAATCGACACTCGATGATCGTGAACTCTGGCCGTGTGTTGTATCCGCACCGGTCACACCAACAGGAATGATCCGCTCCTACACAATATACCATCGTCATAAATCAAACAACATCCGCGCGCTATTTCATTGCTCACGTTTCATCAAGTCTAACATATCGCTGGCGTCATCTATTTGTAAAATTTCTGTATTATTTCCAAATTACTGTTAATTTCTGCATTATCAACACATGCCTTCTGACAGTTTTATAAAGGGTAAGTACTGCAGAAGTCATTTATGGTTGTTACGATCGCATAAACTTTGACTCCACAATACAATTATAAGATTCTTAATTTCTTACTTTGTTTTTTAACAAACGAGATGCCGAAAGATAATAATTTTCAAGCGACCAAGGCATTTACATAACACTTAAATGAAAAGCATTTAAATTCTCTAGACTACACAGATAAAAATAACAATCAAATTCAAATTGGGATGAGTCTAAGCGTAAAAACATGTAAAAACATCTCGTCTCCATGTTCAAATATTATCAGTTATTGCCAACAAGCCTATGAATACCTAGACTTTGTCAGTCTGTTAAAACGAGTAAATTACCCACATACATACCTTGACGGTAGTCCGCTCAGATTGCCACTCCGTCGTTTGTTGATCCGCACTGTGGTCCTGTGGCCCCACCACACGATACCGGTCATCAATGGTCACCCGCTCGTGCCGGCTCTTCCGTTCCTGTGACGGCGTCGGACTCTTTCCATCCGCTGTCGCATCCACATTGATATCCGTACCCACCATGGTATTGCGTGTGCTGTAATCTTCCCGCCTAGTAGTCTGACTGGTCTTTTCCACGGTGTACGGCAGCGGTGTATCGTAATAATTTTCCTCGACGGTTTCCTTAATCACTTCTTGGGTTTGACTGACTGGACGTGGCGGGACACGCACGCGATGGTATTCTTCGATATCCGTCCGTTCAGTGTTCTCCACAATCGATTCGCGCGGCACAACCGCCTGCCGTGCTTCTTTCCGGTTTTCAGCCTGACTGGACAGATTCCTCACTTCCACTGTTTCTTCGCGAGTTTCTGTCGCAACTTGACGATTGTCCACCCGGGGCAGAATTCGATAATAATCTTCCGTAATGGATTTTTCAATTGTTTCCTCCGTATGATCACGTTTTTGTTTAGTCGAGGGTATAAACGGACTTTTCACTGTATCGACTCGTTCAATACGTTCATCCCGTGTTTCGGTGGTGTGGCTCTTCTTGGACACAGGACGCACCCGATAATATTCCTCTACGTTAGTTTCCTCTGTATTCTGTTGAAACGCTTTTTTCTGTTCCGATGGATAGGGAGCCAGATCAGTTTGGATAATTGTCCGCGTCTCGCTCTGCTCTTCATCAGTTCGTGTCGACGCCGGTTTCCTTTGCGACGGTGCCACACGATAGTACTCCTCAATGTTCGTTGTCTCGATATTCTCCTCGACTTTTTCTTCCGGCTGACGATACCGGGGGAACACACTTTGTTTAACGTCTGTTGTGGCGCTTTTCTCTTCGGTTGTTATTTGTGTCGGTGGAAAGCGGTAACGGTCTTCCACCGTAGTTTTTTCTATATTTTCCTCAGTTGTGCTTTTTTGAGCTGAACGAGACGGGGTCAAATTAGTTCCAACACGAGTGACTTCCTCGGTTCGCTCGTCTGTGCTGACCGCCGAGTGAAGTTCGGGGTGGATGCGGTAATAATCCTCCGATACGGTTTTTTCAATGTCTTCCGTATGTGCTCGTCTGATTCCGTTGGGCCGATCGGTGCGGTACGGTTTCGGTGTTTGATAATAATCTGTAGTTTCTTGGCGTGTTTCCTCGTTGTAAACGGAATCGTAGTCGCTTTCCTTGCGAGCCGGTTGTGACTGGTACCAGTGTTCGGCGACGTCGGTCCGTTCGGTCGTGTCCAAGCGGTCGTGTCGTTGATCTGGCTGGGATTTCTAAAAATATACCGACATAAGATTAATAAACACCGGTAAAAGATTGGTTTTGTCATTTTCGAATTCAAACACGATTACTACGAGTAGTAGACTTGAACAAAATGCCGCCCAGATCGAGCTAGCAAAACAATTAATTTATGACGAAGCTTATCTTTCTCACCAAGAGATTCAAACGTTCCGACTGTGCCATAAAAATAATGCATAGTCCCGGAAATCATAAGGCTGTAGTTTATATAAATATTTCTAACGCAGCAAACCTTGCTAAGGTTTAACCTTATTGAAAGGGTTGATTCTCACGACTTTATATAAGATCCACCCCAAAAAGTGTCAAAATTTCCAATCAACCCCAAAATTTTCCACGAGTCTTTTAATCTGTCTCCGCTGTATGGGTTGGTTGTGGTACTTACTTTATTGGATAAGGATAATACGGATACTGTACGGATACATTTCATAGTTTCCCTACCGCCGAACTACGATACAGGCTACGATTTTATTTACGCACGTGTAAAATTGCAATCATAGTTTACCGGTAGCATCTGTGAACGCTTTTTCAGGCATCAGCCTATTTACGTTCTGTTTAATTCTTTTGCAGATTCAGATGCTCGATACCAAAACTTAATGGGAAACCCCAATCACCGTGTATCGAATCACCAGCATCCAGCTTAAGCTTACCAACCTGATATTGGGCTTCCAGCAAATCCTTTCGTTTCTCAGTTCTTTCGGTGAATTCCGAGTCAAAGTCACTTTGCCTTGAATCGACCCTCCCTTTACCCGGCTGAACCCGATAATAATCCTCCTCGGTGACCTTCTCGACCTTCTCCACCAGATTCCCTTTGTGATCCCGCCGCAGTTCCGTCTCCCCGTTGGTCGCCCCTTCGCCGTCCTTCAAGTGATCGGGATTCGGCGGGTAGGAGCACTTGAACTGACGATGATCAGTCTGAATGTCCTCACCGGAATCGTAATACTCTGGCTCCGGTGGCTCTCGTTCCGTATAGTATCCGCGCCGGTTCTCAAAGGTGGTAGTCTTCCCGGCACGCCGGCCACTGCCGGTTGGTTTGTCGTCGGGATGGTAGCGATACTTATCCTCGACGTTGATGATTTCCACGTCTTCCGTGCGATGTTTCCGGTCTAAACTGTTGTAGGGACTGTCGTCGGGCGATTCAACAATGATGCCGTTCTCCTACGAAGCAAATGCAATCAATCGATAAATAAGTCACACATACCATGAAGAATGTTCTTTCTGGCACTTGAGAAAAATAAGATTGGTGAGGTAAGCAAATAACTGGGCCGGCGCTTCTAATGAGTCTGTGCGGTAATATGAAAATAGCATGACACATTCGCTTGGTCTGTTGTGTGTACATAAGAGCGGTTACTTCAACACATGCAGCTCTTATTTTTTCTAAATGCTGACGATGGCCACTCGCCAATGAAATGTTTACATTTTAATATCAATCTGAAATTCAAATTTTTTCTTACGCGGATTGCTGTAGACTACGAGCCTGAGATTACCCTGCTATACTGAAAATGAAGATATCATATCGACAAACATATTTACGTGCATGCTACAGTACACTAAAAAGATTTCACTAACGATACAGTTCATGTAAGTATTTTTATCCATCCGTTTAAAACTGTTATTGCAATCCATATATGTTGTAACTGTAAGCTGTTTGACTTCTAAATCCAGTGCAGAATAAGCTCTGCACTGTTTAAGATATATCAGCAGTGCCGATATTGGCCGATTAGCTTTTAGAAAGAAGGTGAACATGTCTGATTGAGATTACTATTTAGCTCCACAGTATCTCTAACAGATTCTGCATTGATACATGCAGCGCGTCCTCAGTCCTGGTTTAAATTTTTCCTTAGGAAATTACTGACAAGATGACAATTACTATAAAAATTTCGCGGTTGTCAAAAAACAATTTTCGAACCATCAGTGTCAGTCACTAGCACTTCACGATATCTACCGGTTTCAAGCAGTCACAAGGATATAAATACGAGTATCTGCAAGTTTGCAACCGTGCAGTATATAAGCAAAGGTCATAAGGTGGTGGACAATACCTATACACTGTGCGGCATTTAGGTAGTCAGCAGCACATCCATTAAAATAACGAAACACCACATAACTTCCCGCTCGTAATCCGCACACCACGTCAAGCAATATTCATACATGGAAAGCATGTTATCACAGCCACTCAATGAGCCGAGAAAATAACCATCTTTCGCCAATCTTTACCTGCCGATTTCCATCTCGCCTCTGCACATCTGAATGGTGGTCATAAAACTTGGAGTGCGCATCAACACGATGGCCATTGCGACGCTACGCGAGAGCATAAGAGAAAAACAACATTCTGCATTGCGCATAACACGCGATAAAGCAAACAAAAATCCACGTGACTCACCTCACTTGTGGCTGCCGTCGTCGCAGTGGCCGTCTCACCATCGAAATACATAACCTGGCTCTTATGCGTTTCTGTCACCTTCTCATCCGTGACGCTCTGCTTAGTGAACTTCCGCCGACTACTCTCCGTACGCTCTGACACTGATCGCAGATTACGTGAATAGCGCTGCTGATGATCAGGATGATCGACATTTACACCCTGCAAATTGCATCATCATTAATTCGTATTCAAATCACGACCATCACGAGAAACTATGGCCTCAAGCGAAGACAAGCACCTCTTCGGTGCGCAGCTCTTCCATTTTGGAGGTCAGTCCAGCCGCGCCCTGTGTGAACTTTTTGGTTTTCTTGGACACGTATGCAACACCGTTCCGGTGTCCCTGCTCGTACTCTTCGTCGTCGGCATGGCCGTATTCATATTCTTCATCCACACCGCTAGTTCCGTTATGGACGCCTGTTCCGTTGACAACAACGGTTTGGTCATCGAAGACGGTAATGGCACCGCTGCGCTGCTCTTCGATAACTTGCTCGTCTTTTATGCGCAACTGCAGAAGAAGGTATCGACCTCACAATTCAAAGCCAAAATCAGGAAAAGACATTTCATATTTCACTAACTAAGCTAAAGCGGCAAATAACGGCTGTAAAGCCAACAAATTTCTCTCTTCCCATAATGCTCAGTGATAGCACATGTACGATTGCTGTGACCTAATTATCAAGAATTCAAAGTTTTGTAAGGTTGGCTGAGAGTACGAGTACAATAATTTTATGTAGTCGATGCAATCAGCTCAGTATTCTTCACCCATGTTTCAACTTGCCTTTCGCGATCTCTCAGTTCTTCTGGAGCGCTGGTTAGTTTGAATCTCCCGCAGTTCCCATCCGTCCGGCAGGGTCACCGGCAGATTGCGGGGATCCAGTGGGACTTTATCCGGCTTGCCGCGGATCTTCACCACCAAATTCCCATCATCGCCCACCGTGCACTCAATCTTGCCGGCCGCTCCATTACCGTTAACCGGCACTAATTCCGTCTGCGCCGTTACATAGACAATTACCATGCATGACAATCAGTTCCGCTGCGCTGATTAAAAGCACGCCAACAGTGCATGTTATTAGCCAATTAAGACTACAGAGTAAACGTACACTGGTCGTTCCGTTGGTGTGAGTCGTGTCGGCGGGACCGTTTGAGTCACGAGGAGTCTCCTCGCTGTATGTGTACACGTACTCGATGGGAGCGTTCTTGTCGTCTCCCGAGTAACGATAGAAATCGCGGCGGGTACGCTTTTCTGTAAATTTCATGTCGTTGAAGTACAGTACACGTCTAAACGATCCATGCATGTAATGATATACGTAATAATTTCGAAATAAAAATTCGTTTTACCATGTTTTGAAGATGTCTTCTGTTTCACCTGCGCGCGAATAAAATAAAACAAGAGTTAAAATATTACATTATAGTACTTCGTAAGTGGAAATATCAGCCAATAATAATGCTTTAACAATCAGAATAATTTCCACCTCCAGAACCGGCTCCCGCGGATTTCGTCCTCCGGAGCGCGAAGACGGACGCGGCACAATAGTTGTGGTCTGGTCATTCTGGTTAGTGCCACCGGAAGTGTCCGCTATCACCATGATCTCACAGTCAGTGGTATGGATATCACAACGGTGTTCACAACTGCAGTTGCATTATCCTGAAATACGCAGCCAGACTTCATTGATGTCAAGGATCATAAAAACGAAAAGCGCATAGATAAAACTCGGTGGGTAAAGCAAAGGTTTTTCGGACGAAAAGTGAAACAATTTTTAGAATTGAGTGATTGTGCTATTCGAAACTGGAACTGCGATTACAATACGGAAATGCATCACTGCAGTGCATCTTGACCACATGGCACCGGCAACGACTGACCAGTCATGCTGAACTTTGCGTACTCAACGCATTTAATCCAAGTTCCGTGCTTTTTCCTTCCTATGAGAAATCCGCGGTGGCGGCTGTTAATGCAACTGCGATGCATTTTATTGTACGCATGACCGCTTTGCTTTTTTCGTCTTGGCTAAATTGGTTTAGAGCCATTGTTTTTACAGCTGCTTATACATATGGTACAAGTTTACAAGACAACACCAATATTCTATACTGCACTCGTACTCAAACGTAAATCATATTATTGTACGCTGTTTAATAGGGCAGGCACGAGGCAGTAGGAAGACGTGTCTAACTTGTCAGGCATACATAATCGTGGTTTGGCTATTATAAAAGCACGTGGAAATAGTGCTACCTTCTATTAAAGTTATTTCAAAATTTGTGAATTTTCATATGTTAGACTACAACTGATTTCGGAAGCACAAGGGTGCAGGTCCCCTAGCGGCGCCAGTTTTTCGGCAGGAATTTGTGGTGCGCATGAAGTCAGATCTGACATTACGAGTACTACTACGTTAGTAAGAACATTGAGGTGCTTGCCTTCCTCGAGCTCTGTACAGATAGTTCATCAACAAATTTTCTTTACAATAATCGAATGCTAATGAATTGGCTATGTGTAGCCTGCTATCCGAAAGAACAACAAAACAGCGAAAGAACGAATCTGATATCGCCTACTTGAACTTACATAGTGTTTTATGACTAACCATAAGCTATACAGTATACATATAGATATATTGTAGAAAATAGCGAAGAGCTACAGTACTGCAGTGCTAATTCGTATCGGGGTATTTAACTCATCATCAGATGACAAGTAAATCTCGCAGTTCTTTCACTTAATAATTGTCCACGATCTGAACACTTACATATCGTAAAAAAAGTATGACAATTTGAGGCTACTTATAGAACCTTATAAAACTATGTATGGAGAGCAGCTCGCTTATTGTGAATAATAAAATGATAACCTTTACATAAAATTAAATTATTGACCACCATGTACTTTATAGAAATTTTTACTTTTAACAATTTTTTAGAATACTGGGTATTGCATAGATGGACACGTTATGTGTAAAAAATAAAGAAACTAGTATCTCGGTTTTCTTACAAACAACTGCTATGTACAAACAACTGTAAATACAGTTTTTTTGTCACAAAACTGCATTTGTTACGAAGCTGTCATGTTGCGAACAACAGCTAAAACGCGGACATTTTTAGCACTGTTCTACAAAGTTCAACAGTTACAAAGCAAAGGGAAATCCACTCGCCAATGCAAATTTTATGACAAGATTTTGTAAAAAGGCTCGATCGCGATGAACTAAAAACGTTAATAATCAGATAAGGATAACCATGACAAAATTGTTTACCTTTGATCACACCAAAAATCGTCACAGATTCATCCCAGACTCCCAGCGAAATGAAAATATCCAGTAAGCCACGTTCCTACAGTATGTAATACTTAAAAGTAGGCAAGTATCCGACTCTCCCAGCACCCCATACGCCGCAACCAAAAATGTGCGTTTCGCTAATTTACGAAACAAAGGTGTTCTTTTGGCATACAACCAAAGAGATGCGAATCTTAATGAGTTTGGTGGACATAACCAGCGACACATAACAACCGAACGGCTGGTTAGCGTCAAAAACTCGAACTCAACCCAGCCAGCGAATCTCTCCTTTTGTGGAAAGTGAAGACGATGAGTAATCAACAAAGATCATACACTTTTTCTCATATGTATTCAATTCAACCCGCAGAATTCTATGGAAGCAAAGCTACGTACAATGCACTGAAGCAAAGTCGCCTCGGGCGCGATACTTGTGTGTATCGTATTTCTTATGAGACATTGCGTATCACGCTCATTTACAACCGACTAGCAAACACACATAAATTCATCACCACACACCGCCAAAAACGATGTAAAAGGCACAAAATGGTCGTTAAATCACTTCAACCACCAAGAGTTTCAAAGAAGCACTAAAGGATACATACTTCGAAGAACAGCAAGCTCCAGCAGTGTTCGCATTTTTCTTCATTTCGAAGATCCTGCGTACCTCCTCGTCCTGTCGGCGATCGTCTGCGCACTCCCATATCACAGATCTCATTGCATGTTTGGTCTTCTCCTTTGGACTTAGTACGGTCCTTTCATAATGATTTATCTTTTTCTTCCTTTTCGCGACTCCGAGCCAAAGGGCTACGAAACGAGAATGAGGACTGTTTCACAGTGCTCTTGTATGTATACGACGCTATCCATACATTTTAGCGACTGATTTCTTACATTCCTCCCAAGTGGCACAAGCAGATATTAAAATTTACAAAAGATTTCCGTGGAAGAATACCTGGTTTTGAAGAGGTTGTTAATGGTATTTGGCAGCGGCAAAGCCCAATCAGCCGGCGCCTCCGAGCGTTGCTCCCATACATCGTTGCTTACAGCATTCAGGGTGCGTTTCGCTACTCGCGCTTTTTCATGCTGCACGACCCTCTTCTACAAAAATTCCGATGTATATTATTAAAATATTATGCACCATGCATAATTTGTATGGTTCTCACACAACAAAAAAATGTTCCACCACTTTCTAACATTCAGCAAAAATCAAGAAAACATGTACGGCAGGTTCCCAAATGTTAATGTATAACCAGAAAACGTTGAAAAATTTATCGCAACGATGTCTGAAAAAATTGTAACAAGTGCTTCACTAACTTTACTGCAAACTAACAGCTATGTACAATGGTTATTATTAAATACGAGGAGTAGGCATTTACAGTGATTTACTGTAAGCATTCATTTTAGCGAAAAGGATGATAAGCTGCCGTGTGTCACTTGAAATTACACATAACACTGAACAACAACAAATTAACGTAAGCTGAAGAACTTTACAATGCCTGTGCAGGTTTATTCACCCGCTACAGGAAACACAAGTTCACAGTCCAAACATGTGCTCGGTACTTGGCAGTGCTTACCAGAGCGGCCTGATCCATCTTTTTGAACCACTGCAAGCAGTCCTTGAAGTCATCTTTCCACTCTTCGCACGAGAACGTCTCTCCCGTGGTAAACAACTGATGAAACCTTCCTCGGATCGCTGAAACAGTTCAGTATCAACACGGGCTCTCGCGTGAGGTGGCTGCGCATCTTACATTTGCACTCTCGGTATTCGTCGCGGTACATTTCGCAATCGCGAACCTGAAAAGAACTCGATAAACGCGCTGTCTCAGTATTTGCGGCGCATCAAGTTATTGGTAAATGGTACGTATTAAGTCCGTATTGCTACCGTTAAATTATCCCTGATCTATTACAATGTACGACGCTCACATCACCGAAGTTACGTCCAAGGTTCAATAACAAACTCTTCTTATAAGGAGAAAGTCACAAAGGCATTCAATATCTCCAAAAATGTAGAAATGTTTTACCATCCAAGAATTGGGCTCCTCATCCTCCGTTTGGCTCATGGCATCGGCTTCGACGAAACAGATATTTTTCCGAATGATGACAGAAACGAAAAACGTTAGGAACTGATTTAACCTGATTTAACTTCTGGAAGCAACAACATTTGAGTATTACAGAATTAATCGTAAGCGGTAAGCAATCACAAAATAATAAAAATAAATAAAAGGACTTCTGTATCGTATTGTACATTTGCAATCTGTTTAGAGCGCAGCTGCAATAAGCCTTCGTCAAAGAGAACAAATTTGTGTGCTGCCTCAAAGTGGCAACAGAATACAGCAGTATTGCAGTCGAACAGAAGAGTATCGTATAGTAAGTTGTTCCTTCGCTTCCTTGCCAGCACACTAGAAACTGGGAAGAATTATTTTTATTTTTTGCCCAGTTATTACCAACACATAAAAATTTGCCATCTGTATTTTTCTCTTGGATGCAAGATTTTTTTATGCGTTAATCTATTTTCCATTTTTTGGCAGTACAGTTTTGCACCCAATTTTTCACACGTATATTGTTTTTCTAATGGAAGCGAACGGGAGGAGGCCTACGGCTCCCGGCATACCAGCCCGGCAGTGGGATGGGACACCGAATAGACCGCCAGCATCCACACCTCCTCCATCTTTAAGGAATGCCGCTGTGCCGACGCCACGAGAAGATGAAACAAAACCGGTGGATAAGCGAGCGCCACGGCTAGTGCTCATTGACCCCAACATCGGGCTCCCTTCGAGAGATCCTAATCCGGATGAGCCCACAGGAATATGGTACACACTGAGGAAATCTATTCGAGGTAGGAAACTAGGTAAAAGCGCTCGATAAACTTTCAGTTAACACGTGATTCTAGCGTTCTGGGCTACGCGAGAAACCGAAGCAACCGTCACCAACCGGGAAGCATACGTGAGAACGACCTTACGCGAGCTATTCGTCTATGTCTTGTTCCTTGCGTGCATTATGATGAGTACGTTATGAGCTAATGTTTATTCGAAAACTTTACTGTGCGTTAAAAAAATTGATGGTCAGGGGGACTCACATATCGGCTGTTTTATTTAGTGACCTTTGGCGCGACTGATTCTTCTATGTTCTACCTGCATCGAGCAATGGAATTATCGTTCGTAGAAACCTCCCCGAGACCCTTCACTCAGCTGGTTTCGTTCAACGATGTTTACGAGGTGCTGTTTTGCAATACTGTTTAGCACATTGCAGTACCCGCAGCATATATGTAGATGTACAATATTGTACATGCATTACGCTACGTACCCACATTTACACACGTTTGCTTTATCTGGCATTAAGCATGTGGGATATTTTCCCAAGAACGATAAAACTATACTCTTTTGTTAAATTTTAGTATTACGAAGTCTCCTTAATAAATGGATTATTTTGGGAAGATTTGATGGAACTCCCTAAGCCCAATCGCTCAGACATACCGGACATTTTGTAAGTTTTCCAATACCCACTTTGTACCGGTGCAAAAAATTGTGTCGTTTTCAGATTTTCGCCAGAGTTCCAGAATATGACAGATTTTGATCCCCACGCGAATTTTATCTTTTACCACAACAAAATGTTGGGTGTGCCAAGGATGCGGCAACTGCGAGTTCGCAATGGAAGCTGCGGAATTCCGGAACAATTTCAAAGCTTTATATATTCTTGTTTTAATCACTTCACAAAGTCGGCTGAGGATCAACTTCCATTCGGCGGAGCGAACGTAACGTATGTACACATGAAGTAACTGCCCGCATACGCATTGATATATCCTAGATTTAAATTACCGGATCCTGTACAGACTCTGTACAGCACATTATGGACAAATAGGATTAGTGTGAATTTAGCCAGATTTTTAGATGGACCTATACACCAATGTCAAACTCTTCGCTCGCTGCGCATTGGGGAAAAATCTGCACTTACCATGACGGTGGATTTATACAAAATCTCAATTTAACGAAAAACGCAACTGTAAATATCATAAAACAAATGCGTCAACATCGGTGGCTGAGCGAAGGCACCCGGGCAGTTTTCATTGACCTTTCCACATACAACGCAAATCTCAATTTATTCGCCATCATTCGGTAGGGAATGCTAATTCGTAGCATGATACTGAAGTTCTCCGATCAGTTTACCAGTTGTTCAGTTCATTAATAGCATAAGATATACGACGTTAATTCCTAGATTGGTAACAGAATTTCCGGCGACCGGTGGTCTGGTCAATTCCGCAGACATTCGCGTGAGCAAGTTCATCAAATACGTGGACAATTGGGATTATGTTGTGCTGTTATTCGAGGGGCTATTTATTGTGTTTGTGCTGTATTATGTTGGTGAGGAAACAGTGGAATTGTTGACCTTAAGACATCATTACTTCCGCTCGTTCTGGAATGTGTTGGATCTCATTGTTTTGGCCATCTCCATCTGCTGCATTGCATTCGAAATCCAGCGTTACATGATGGTAAGTGTTCAGCAGCTTCATTAACAATAAGGAGTAAATTATTATTTAACTTATTAATTTTTATATGTATGGTATCATATTACCGTCTGATAGTTAAAAATTTTGAAACTGTTGATGGTGATTGTACAGAGTACAGTAGACGATCGTGCATAATGACACTCTGCAACTGTGTTGTTGCAGTTACCGCTTTTACCGACCGTATTACGTACGAACAGTTACCGATGTGAATATATATGAATGTCTTTACCATATACCTGATCTTTTAGGTAGAAGAATTTCTTGGCACGCTTCTCAGCAAACGGAATGAATTCGTTGACTTTCAATATTTAAGTTTTTACCATGCGTGCCTTAATAACGCCTTTGCCGTTTTGGGATTTCTTGCCTGGATCAAGGTATGTTTTACCAACGCCTTACTTATTGCACTGTGAACAAGATAAATAGTTATATAGACTATATTTCTTGTTGACCGGTTCTCTCTGCTTATTTGCAGCTGTTTAAGTATCTCAGTTTTAACAAAACCATGATGCAGTTGAGCTATACCTTGTCGAAGGCGGCCAAAGACATTTTCAACTTCGCCATAATGTTTTTCATCGTATTCTTCTCCTTTGCGCAGCTAGGGTACTTCATGTTTGGAACACAGGTACGGCACATAATTAAATTTTGTTTGTCGGCACCGGGAAATTCGCGATGGTTTCCGAGTAGTGTGCGTGTACAAACCTTCAAGAAATATATGTATTGTATTATAATCGCAAAGCAGTAATACTGTACTGTATGTGTATAGCATCTACTGCATTACCGTACAGATTAACGCCTGATTTTGGTTGATATCTGTTTTAAAAACTGCACAATGTACATAAATCACGAAGATAGTACAACACAACGATAGTACAACGGCTGGGATTTGCTAGCATTGCTTTGATTTCTGCTAAAGAAATCAAAGGATTGCTAGCATTTCTTTGATTTTCTTCTTTTTTATATTCAGCTGGAAGGATACAGCGATATTGGCAGTGCAGCCATGACCTTACTTCGAGTGATTCTGGGTGACTTTGATTTCGACCAACTGCAGAACGCTAACAGCGTTTTAGGACCGATATTCTTCTTTACCTACATCTTCTTCGTCTTTTTCGTGCTGTTCAACATGTTTCTGGCCATCATCAACGAGACCTACGCGGCCGTCAAAGAAGATCTGGCTACGCGTAGAAGTGATTTTGATATTGGCGAATATATCAAGAAAGGATTCGACCGAATTCTGCGTAAGCTTAACTGGAAATCGTTGAGGAAAAAAAAGCAAGAAGAACTTTTAGTCCATGATAAAGTCCTGAAACAGAAAGCCCTGGATGAATTGGCCCGCTGGCAGGACGACCTGAAGAACAGGGGATACACCGAAGAAGAAATCAAGACCGTTTTCGGCAACAGTGCGCTACTTCCGGGACAGGTGGGCTGCTTCCTAACGTTTCCCCTGGGCCTTACAATTAGTGATTTTTGTGTTAGATACCGGCGCTTTACAGACTATTGTGCTACTAACATTATAAAACTGTGCCGCGAATTTTAGGAAGAATACGAAACAATCGGAGGGATCGATGCCGCGAAGTTCAATGAGTGCGGGCAAGACATAGCAAATCTTTATTAGGACCAAGATATTTTTGCTGCATTCATAAATTAATTACAGAATGGAAAAGCGAATGCAAAAAATCGAAAGCGCTCTTAAAGCCATCATTGGGCATTTCGATGCAGCGCTCAACAAGCTGGACATGATGGAAAGAGCTAAACTGAACAGAGCAAAGAAAATGGACGCTATCATTGACCACCTGGACGAGGTACTGCTACTGCATGCTGCATGCACGTTTTTCTGTCAATCCCATCATTAATGTAAAATAAGTACTAAATAAACGGTTTGTAACAGAAGTAATAGCCCGACGTTTTTTACATTTACTGAACACATTTATTGAATGTGCAATACTTACGAGCACATCCAGAATTTATAAAAACCAAATTTATGGTATCATGAAAATTAATTGAGTTGAAGTTGTTTGCAAATTCAACAGGGAGAGTTCGTTACAAATGAACGTAAGGAAGAGCTAACAGCTCAAGATATCCAGAAGCGTCGTAACCGGAAACGATCGTCAAGACCTTAAGGTATGGAAACAACACTTTTCTGATAATCATCACAATGTTCAGTCTTCAGGTGCTTTAAAAGGGTGCATGGACATTTTTGAACAAGTACGCACAAAATTCTGAACGCAGGTTACACTACTTTTTTTGCAAAACTGCAGGAGCGGACCTAACCGGGAAACCACTGCCTTGCTCGCAAGGACCAACCTTAATCAATCAAGCAGCCATCTGAATAAGTATTTGCAACTACAGTCAAGGAAGTGCTGCGTTGCTGGAAAGTGTGAAAGATTCATATCGTGTGAACTGTTGAGTACCTGCCTACCATCCGCCCCAACAGCAAAGATGCCAATGTTTTCTTTTTATAGCAGAATAATTATTATGAATTAAGAAATTAACTAACGCAATAAAAAAGATTACGACGAACAAAGCGACAATACGGAACGACAACTACATTTTTTTAGCCTTTAAGCACAAAATTAAGCGAACCAAAGATGAAATATTAATCGATCGCACAAAATCCCACTTAACACAATTTAAAGCTTATCCAAATAATTGCTCAAATCTGGGACACCCTCCTTAAGACCCTTTCGCTTACGGGTGACGGCCACCACTTCGGCAGGCTTGCTCTTGCCGTCCATGGGATCACCTGGAAGGATCTGCCAGTGGTCGAAGACGCACTGAGGGAACGCCTGGCCACCAGTGTTTGAGCGCAGATCGGCCGTGAAGCCGAAGGACTCGTTTACCGGCAGGTAAGCCTTGACGACGAACATGGGCGTGCCCACCACTTGGCTTTCCTCGATGACGTGGCCACGACGACGATTCAGTACACCGTAGATACCACCGACAGCCGCCTCCGGACACTGGATTTCCACCAGGTACACCGGCTCTTGGAGACGAGGAGCGGCAGTCAAGACGCAGGCATAAAAGCACCGACGAGCTGTGGGGATGATCTGACCACCACCACGATGGATGGCATCAGCATGGAGTGTCACATCGTGTACGTTGAAGCGGATACCACGACAATTCTCTTCACAGAGTACACCTTCCTTTGTTGCCCACTATAAACAAAAACAGTCAGGTTTTCGATTCTCTGTTACATGTACGTACTATACGCGTTGTACCTGGAAACCAGCAACGACGGAATCCTTGATTTCGTTGAGGTATTGTACTCCCTTGGTGACGTCCATAAGAAGATTAGCGCCACTTGTTTCCGGACCAAAGCACCAAATCTTACGGGCTTCACCAACGTCATAACCGTACTTATCAGCCAGGATACGGCCACGGGCCTTAAACTCCTGCTTGGCGGTGATTTCACCTGATTCAATGTCTTCAGCCAGGCCGTCCGGCATCGGAACTGCCTTCATGTACAGACGATTGTGCTTGTTGGGTGATTTACTTAAGCACAGTTCAGATGACTCTTCTGACACGGTTTCACGGTAAGATACAACAGGATCTGACGTCTTGATCGGGATGCATGCGTGATCTTCTTCCAAGTCTTTCAAACAAATTTCCAAGTGCAATTCGCCAGCTCCGGCGATGATATGCTCACCGCTCTCTTCAATGATACATTGGACCATAGGATCGGACTTGGCCAAACGCTTCAAACCTTCCACCAATTTCGGCAAGTCTGCGGGATTTTTCGGCTCAACGGCAACACGCACGACGGGTGACACACTAAAACAGAATTAAACTCTGAACTAACCCCTACTACTTAAACAGCGCAATACACGCGTACCTGAATTTCATAACCTTCAGGTTGTGAGCATCCTTGAACGTGGTAATGGTACCCGTCTTGACCAAAAACTGGTCAACACCAACCAAACCGCAAATGTTACCACTGGGCACATCCTCAATGGCTTCCGTGCCACGACCCATCATCAAAACGGTACGCTGGATAGACTTTTCGTACAAATCGTCCTTCTTGCCGGGCACATAGTTCGGACCCATAATGCGCACTTTCTGACCGGTCTGCACGACCCCGGAAAACACGCGACCGAACGCGTAGAACCGACCCTTATCAGAAGTGGGTACCATCTTACTGATGTACATCATCAGCGGTCCGTTGGGATCACAGTTCTACAAAACCAAAACTCGCGTAAGCTCCGAGTGCAGTAAAATAACATCCAAACTACTACAACAAAGACGCCAGTGTTATCGCAGTGACTTACCTTAACAGCTACGGCAGCTTCGTCATCCATAGGTCCTTCGTACAACAACTCCATGCGGTACTTTTGCGCTGTTTGGGGTGACGGCAGATGGAGCGTGATCATCTGGAACAGCACTTCACCGGCTGGGAGCCACTGCTGGAAGATCGCCTTAAGCAAGTGTTTGCCTTCCTTTTCCTTATCTTCACCCTTCAGGACAATGTTCAGTTTCTCCATCAACTTGGCAGTTTCTTCTTTGTTGAACTTCATAACGGCATCGAACACCTTGTAGATGGGATCCAAGACAAACATATTGAAGGCACGCTTGTCATCAGCTTCACTCTTCTGTTTGGACCATTTCTTGGTCTTGGCGTTGTAGTAGTTCTCACCCCACAGTTTGTTCATCAACTTCTCCAAATCAATGCCGAATTTAGCGGCATACATTTCAGCGAACTGCTTCAGCGTAAAGGCCCATCCGTGCAGACCGCTACCAAAACCACAGTTGCCCTTGGAGGGGTCGATCTTGATGTCACCCATGGGGCCCGACTCGTCAGAGTAGGTAGCGATGATGACGTTGATGCTTTCCACAATACGTTGGAAGGTCTGGTAAAGGTCTTCCTGTTCCAGCTGCAACTCCAGGAGAGCACGATCCATCTTGTTCATGAAAAGGACTGGCTTAATGCGCTCAGCAATAGCTTGACGGAGCACAGTCTCGGTTTGCACACAGACACCTTTTAAAAACACCCAAAAAATTAACAAATGGTTCGGCCCGTCGACAATTTATTGTGCACGTACCACTGACGGCGTCGACGACAACGAGAGCTCCATCGGTAACACGGAGTGCAGCCGTCACTTCACTCGAGAAGTCCACGTGACCGGGAGAGTCGATCAAGTTGATAAGGAAACCGGGTGTGCGTTCCTTGTCGATTTGCGTTTCACCCTTGACAAGGGGAACGTCTTTGGCTTGCAGTTCGAAGTACATGGAGATGGCTCTGCGCAACAAAGAACCCGTTTTACATTTAACTTCACTGGCATGCGGACCACTGCGATACATACGTTGATTTGATGGTAATGCAACGTTCCTGCTCATCTTTGCGAGTGTCGGTAAATCGCATTTCACCTGCCTTCGACTGGGCAATGATACCGGCCTTGGTAACCTGCAAAACTTTTTCGTAGATATATTCGCTAAGTGGTACCGCTATTTGCTCTTCTTATACGATTTTGTCAAATTTTTTGAAAATTAACCGCTTGTACGTGGCATACCAAAGAATCAGTCAACGTAGATTTTCCGTGGTCGACGTGAGCGATGACGGACATGTTGCGGATGTTGGTCTTTTTGTCCATCATAGCACGAATTTCGTCGATCGTGAAGTTCACCTGGAAAAAGCATCATCACAAATAATAACTGTGATGAAAAGTACGCCGTGGATTTAATAAACTGCAAGTAGGCTGAAGCAGCCCAAAAAAACTTGAAGGCTGGAAAGGTTCACTTAAAATACGTGATCATGGTATCACTACAAATGCTCGGGTTTATAACAATGAGCTCCATTTAATAACGCCAAAAAATTTCGATTTCGCTGAACACAAGTCTTTCCTGTCATACTGATACTGCCAAATGCGCTGGGTTTTATGCTTGTTAGGAATGTTACTTATGTTAGCGCTAACACAGCCACGTGGCTGATTTATCCAAATTGTTAAGTATTTCAGTTTTCTGCATTACGTAATCGCTGCTATCTATTCAGCGCAGCAATTTTGCCTTAATTGCGGCTTATGGCTTATCCACGTCTTGTGGAGTCGTATTAAGAATAAAAACGAGAAAGATAGAGATCCACAACCGGTCTACGGCGGCGTACGCTCTTTTTTAAACGTACGAATTCAGCGCAAGATAAATTTTTGACTTACTGTTTTTCAACAACCAAAGAAAATAAAATATTATAAATATTTTTATAATCGGTGTAAATTTTCTGAAATGTTTTACAGTAAGTAATTTAACGATTACAAGCTGGGAGGAGCCGCGGCCCAAGAGTCCACGGCTAAAAGCAGCTTTCAAGGTTACATCTTGTCACAAACGGGAATCGTGACAGCTCGTCCCAATCGCAAAAGACTTACCATTTTTGCGGTTAGCAGGCAGTCTTCCGATTAAAATCTGCGACAACAACAGAATCGATGGAACGAGACAATTTTTTTGGGCTCCGGCGAAGAATGAAACTTCAGGAACCAGCAGGATTTTCAAAATTTAATATGCCGCAGTGCCAGATGGCAGACTGTTTCTGAGCAAGTGAGCTCATCGGCGAAGTCGGCTACGCTGCGTTACCGGTCCACAGAGTATCGAACCAGTCGAACCAGTTAACTCCGCCCACTCCGTAACCGAATCCACTGAACATGACTGATTGGCTGGTTTGACTCATTTCGTGTTTAACATTAAAAGCACGGATTTCCACCACATGCGCACAGTTTCTTTGGCCGCCCTCTTTCTTGTGTGATGCGCTTTAAATCGATAATTTTAAGTACTCGTACCTCTAAAAGCTTAATCTTTGCAGCGACTGGGACTTTTATTAAGCAGATTTTTAATAGACATTACGGAGATTTGAAATTTGTCAACTGAAGATTCGAAACTTTGGAAACAAGAAAGTCTACAAATTTGCAAAAATCTCGTGCTATTCAAACGGAGGCATTCTCCTGAGAGGCGGCAGTTAGTCGATAATTTGAGAAATTTTATGGCACTACACGTAGTCACGTAGTGCGTGAGAGAATTTTAATGGGCCGCATTCACCTGTGACTCATATCGGTGAGTCGCCGCCAGTCAACGCATGCATGCAAGAGAAACTTGTCCTCCCGCTTCTCTGAGCGAAAATCGGATATCCTTGGCATAGTCAACAAATTTATGTAATCCGCTCTGCACAAGACAAGATCTCGCATCTTTTACATCCCCTTGGGATCTACGCCGTTCACCACAGACTTGACCGTCTGCTCGTTATTCTCCGCGACTGAGTCATTTTTAAAAGATTTATCTTTCCGTGGTATGAGGAATTCCCTATTTTGCGATACGATGGAGATATGCAATATGCATGGCGAGTTGATGGTAGATTGCTTACGCAGTCACGCAACCACAATTGCTTCTAAAGTTTACATCAAGTGATCGAGTCACGTCCAAGTGGTATCCGCATTATTACTGTTATCCCTTATTTCTCGCTGGACGATGCTGGAGATCTTTGACTGCCGCTGCATCTTCTCTTGTTCCATTGGGGACGCATAAAAAATTTCGTTCAGCGCGTTGTGGAAAGGTACTGAAAACCAGAAAATTATTTTTGAGATGTTTAGGTCTGCGCTTTTCACCTCGTCAATAATCTGATGCTGCAAAGTGCTGTTGCAGAGTAATAGCGTAACTCGGTAACTGGTAACAACTAACAAGTTAACAGCGGCGACGTCAGAACATTGCAACAGGTTTGCACTTTGGCGGATGCAGAAATTTTGGTTATCCACACGGACTGTGTTCGCAGGATGTATGTAATTTGTGTTTTTGTCTATCCATTTTTCGCGAGTCAGTACTGATAGTTTTTGAAAATTTTCGTTAGATATGAGCTAATCATGTGTAAGTTTTATTTTCGACTTAAAAGTGTAAACGATATTGCCTCCGAATATCAAATCACAAAGATAACTTGGCCTAAAACTGACAATTGAAATTGTTGAGTAGAAACCGGTTTGTTTGGTCAGCAGAATTTATTGGGTTTAGACTTTAGGTTTCACACTTTCAATTTGTTTGTAACGCTTGTTGTAAGAAAATTGTTTGTAAATAAATAGATAGATACTACAGTATTGAACTATTATTTTATAGTTTTTGAAGTAGCCCGAAATTGTGGCTTGATATGTCGGGCCGGGCGTTTTTTAACTGCAAGCTGACAATGAGCGGGATACTTTCGTTTCTGTTCGTTGTCATCACGGTCACATGCATTCAGTTACTGGGTCATCTTCGATAAAGTGGTTGTAAACTTTTGAAAGGCTTGGATTTCAGATCACTAAAATTAAATATAACTGTTACTTCTTGTAATTTTTTTAGGTTCTAATTTTTTTAAGCTTTAGCAAGCTCTTTCGTTATGGAGCAGTAAAGTCACTGAGCTTACAGATATTTCCAAATATTTTTGTGCTATGCAGCGCATCCTTGCCAATTAATTTTTCTGTCCTCGTTGCTCTTGTGCGAGTATCTCAATTGAGATTTCGCGGTTGGGTATTTTTTCGGTGAGTTTGGCGCTGCCGTCAAATGAATAAACGGAATGAATTGAGCTGAAAATGAAGGTCAGCAGTGTTCTTTTACAGTTTATTTGTTAACGGTGTCACTGCGAGCGGTGGATACAAAATATGAAGCGTATTGAATGCGATTAATACTCTGCATGCTCATCTGCGCAACCCTCACGGTGCTTTTTCTCATCTGTCTCGCGCGCGCGTTTCCGTTCCTAACAATCGCCATCGGCGATCCTTGCTCTGTGAGAGCACTCTTGTTTTTTTAACCGTTTCTCTCCTGTAGGCTGCATTATTGATGGGATTTGGATGAAAGGCGTCATTTGTATCACGGAGTGATTGTTTTGGACATGTCTTCCAGTCAAATGGCGTCTTTGACAACACAATCGGGAGAGACATTCAGTGCGCCGGTAAGTCGGGTAAGAGCGAAGGAAAAAATAGCACCGAAAAATCTGAGCGTTATTTTCTTCGACTGGCCTTATGGCCAACTTGTCACAAGTCATTGACTGCTCAAGTGGTCGTTCACGTTTATCCATAATTATCTGCACAGAAAACTGAAGAATGTTTTCTTAATCAGGTGTTGGCGTTCTGGGTGTTTGATTGTAGTGGAGATGTTTATGACAAGCGCTAAATTTACCTTTGAAATATGACGGTAAATATGCACCATTAGGGTAATACTGGTTATTAGCGTTGTAAATAGTTTATTATGGTATTGATTTATCTCTGCAACGTAATCTCGTAAAAGCACGAGATTTTTTCGATCGATTTGCACTGGAAAATGAGAGAATTAAGTGCAGATTTGAGGAGATGGTCGGTGGGTTTCGACCTATTGATGTCTAATGAACCTGTCAGTCGATTGGGCGCCGAATTTGCTTTCAAGAGAGTGCACACGAACGTAAGGCTTTTAATTTGTTATCGATTTGTTAATAATTATCGTTCTTAACTCTGAGACACCAGACGTGTCTGAAGATTAAGGCCTGGGTGAAAATTGGTTATTGATTAATCCTGATAAAATCAGCTGATCAGTGCCAAGATTTCAGATTTAGCCAATTAAATCGTACGGGATAGTCAGAATTGAAACTACCTAACTCAACATCAGATTCCTGCTTCATACCAGCCTGTTAGAGGAGCTTTCCTTTTGGTTAGTTATAGACATCTCGCTAGTTACGGTTTTATGTGGGGACTGAAGAGCGGCGTTTATGTTACTCTGTATCATGATTTTACATCGAAATGCAGAAGTTCTACGGGAAAACATTTTCGAAATCTTTGGAAGAGAGATCGTCGTATTTTGTATCACGCTTCCGACGTGTACGTAACACTGAAATTGTCAGTTCAAGCACTGTGATGAAATTCCTGTGCCGTATAAATATGATGGTTCATGTTGCCTCTAGTAATTTTCGTTGGTACCGTTTTGTGAATTCTAAGTTGCAGTCGTTTACCGCGGTGCGGTGTCATGCGTTAGACCTGGATGATGATCAGAGATCGACTTTCTCCGTCAGCTCGCCCGTTACAGAATTCAAAAATTGTCAACCATTTGCAGCAATTATACGTACTTAATTTTTATGTTTCTATATAATCGTACGGTCGTTTTGTTGTCACTGATTTACAAAGTTCTGGAAATTTATTAGGGCCATCGCGGCAGCAGTGGTGACCATCCATTTCGCGATATCGAGGAGAAGTACGGAATAGCGGAAAATGGCGATGCCGATTTGATTCCTCGTATAGATCGCGTTATTGACTACCTGAAAAAATGAACTAAGGAAAGAACTGAAGCTCAAGGAAGGTGCGGAGAAGATTCGCAGAGTGACCACTGACCGCAGCAGCTCCACACAAGCTCGCAGCATGGTCAAGAAGTCCACATCTGTGTTGCTGGAATTACAAAAAGACCTGAATGATCTTAATAACTTTCGGTTGTTTGTGGTCGGTGGGGATTCGAAGCTTGGTATGTTTTTGAATTTTCTGCATGTTTTTTTACTGCTGGGAGAGTGGATATTTTGCTGCATTATGGTTTCGTAACCTGAAGATGTTTATGTTGTGTTTGGCTGGGCAGATGCGTCGCCCCGTGTTATGCCACGACGAGAACAAACGCTGTCTCAGGGAGATTCACTCGACGATCAGCACGAGTCCGATGCCCGCTTGGAGCATATTGCAATTCTGCAGCGACAGCTTGACCGTGAAATGATGGTAAGGTGTTGTAAGTTTGTAACTTGAGAAAGATTCGTCTAGTTATTCGTATGTCAACAGATGTTGATTCCTAGGTTGTAAAGTTTCACTTCGACGACAGTAATTACGGAAATTAGCAGATTTAACGGAAATTTGCACACACCTGAGTCTTAATAAATTAATTGCCCATTATTTCACATCTTAACTTTATTGTTATATTTTTGGAAAAACTGATGGCTGTTCGCTAACACGACATGTTTTGTTTATTAAAGTCAAAACGAATTTTTTTTGTGCTTACCATTAGTGCTTTTCGTTTTCGGTAATTTCCGTTAGTAGTTTCCTTTATGTTTTACTTAGTACAGTACTTTCCGTTATCGGTAAAATGTTTAAGTTCGTAATGGATGTGCGGTGTAATGAACTTTCATTATAAAACTACATACATACGACTTGTGAATTTTTATTGTATATATGTGTGTGGGGTACTCAGCCAGATTATTCAGATGTGATCCTTTTAGGTCAAACAAGGCGCCGAAAAGCTGTTGCTGACTTTGGGAACTGGTTCGACGATGCAAAATAAAGACAAAGTAAAACTTTACCAAGAGGCGGATAATATGTTACGTGAAAGCAAGAGTCGTATGGAATACATTCGCATGCAGATTCTGAGGGCGCAAGCTGCCGTGGAGAATGGTCAGAATGGGCGTAAGTGTGCGCATGTGTGGGAATGATAATTAAACTACCGAAGATAGCATGTTGTTGGTTGTTCTCTCTACAATTAGGTAACTGTCTCGGTCTGGAAACGCCGATTCAGGTCAGAATAGAGGATTTACGTCATCGTTTACGAGTGGAGGCGGCCCTGTGCGATGGTGCGCGAAATGTCATCAAGCTGCTTAACGCGACCAAGAATGCGGATAAAAAGGCTTTACAAGAAGTAAGTCTACTTGCATGTGCTTGAATAAAAAGTCCAAAACTTTGGGAAGTGTGTTGAAATAATATCATGCGCATTGAAGAAGTGTTGGCTATGATTTATATTTCCATGGCTTTTGAGTCGGATTCATTAAACTGTGTGTTGGCTGATTTAAATGTTAGTAACTGTTGAAGGTAACCCAGGTGCTCACATATTATCGTTCGCATTGCCCAATTTTTTAAGAACAGTTTAGCAATATTTAGTAGACGATATGTTGAAAATGTGCAAAAACGTGCAAATTCTGTCTACTGTAGTTATTTCTGTACACTACCTTTTGTTCGATTTCTTACCGTACCTTATTTGCAACTTCTTGGTTTGCTTATCAGATAATTACTGTAAATTGTGCTTGACTAACATAGGCAAACAACACTTTGGAGGAATCAGAAAACAAACTCCGTTTGATTCGTTTAAGTCTGGAACGTCGCATTCACGAGTTGGGAGACTGTCCACAGAGTTCTCTTCTGGCAAAAGAGCTGATAATCTATAGCCCAACCACGACATTTAATTATACACTGGCTGATGGCCGACACTCCGTTTACGCCTTTTCCGACGTGAAGGGATTAACATCGGATATTGTTCCTCCTTGTGTATCGAAACCTGCGCCCATTAGCGGAACATTAAATGTGCGGCTGGTGGGTTGTCAACGGCTTCTGGACGAAGTCCCTGGACGGTCCAAACCAGGACTGGGTCTCAGAAGTAAGGGATCGCTGAAAGGAAGAGTGTATAATGTCCGCGATGATAAAGATCATTCCAGTAAGTAAATGGTTCATATTTTATAGTTTAATAAGGTGTGAAAAAGTAACTGTGTAGGTGAAGTCATGGCGGTTCTTAAAATTGACAATAATCGGATCGTGGGTCAGACTGCTTGGAAAAGATGTAGCGAAAAAGCCTGGGATCAAAGATTCGAAATTACCCTCGACCGGGTAAAAATTCATAAGCGGTGTTAATGAAACATGCTAGATACCTGTATATGAACTAGAGTGTAAAGTTGCAAATAAAAGGTGCGTCTATCTATCTACGCATCTACTGTCGTATCTGTGTTTGCAACCTGCGGATTTAATACAGTTACAGGTTCGCTTGTAATCTGTGCTACAGCGGTTAGTCGTAACGACAACATTTGCCGTCCACGGTTCTGTGTTATGGATAGCACTAACATAGTGTTATAACATCGATTGTAGTGTTATAATTTTTGATTTCTACAATCAAATGAGCGTTATGTTTTGCAGGCAAGGGAACTAGAAATTGGTATATATTGGCACGATTATCGGGCGCTTTGTGGTGTGAAGTTCTTGAGGCTGGAAGATTTTATTGATAACGCTCGCAACGGTATCCCCCTTGAATTGGAGCCCCAAGGAACGTTATTTGCTGAGGTTTGTATGGATTATTGTCGGTCAACGTTTGTTGTGAATCACCCGTGACAGTTAGTATTACCCAATTTTATGTAAGAGATGTCTAGCACTATTTACGAGTTATAAGTGATATGCTGAAAAGAGAGGTTATAAATCGATAAATTTGAATATCGATGTCGATGCATATCAAGTTTCAATAGGAATTCTTCGCTAATTTATATTGTAAGTGGTAACATCCATTCGGGAGCCTTAGCACTTTAATGGTGATCGGCTAATCGTGAGCATACTAACAGTAATCCGGTTTCAGTTCCATTTTCAAAATCCAACTTTTTGTCCGAAACCCCGCCTCCAACGTCAAGATAAATTGTTTGGTAAACACAAGGGAAAAGTTTTACGACCCCACGAGCTGGGCATCAACATCGCTGCTTGGAGCCGCCTTTTGAAGAAGGAAGTGCCACAGATTGGTCCAGATGAGCGCTCTTTGATCGAAGACAGCGATATCCTCCCTCCTGCACCTCATGAGGCTGCTGCCGTGATCGAAGCCGAGCTGAAAAACCGAATGAGTCGGGAAGGCAGTACTGAGAGTGATTTGATCAACCTATCGAAGGATCGGAGGCGGAGTTCTGAGAAAGTGGTGAAGCAACGCAACGGGAGCGCACGGAGTGCCGAGGTGGTGAATTCTTACGCCGACAAGGCCGCGGGTTCCGTGTCTCCGAGGAAAACTCAGGTTCCGGAAATACCGCCTCGATCCGAATTTAATGGAGACTGGATTTCCGAAGCGCAGTTGAAGTTCAGTGCAATGTAAGTTGTCTAATGGATACAGTCATACATTTTATATTAGCGTAAGTGTAATGACATAATTTCTTTAGACCGGGACAGTGCACGTTGGACGACTTCCGGTTGATATCCGTTTTGGGTCGAGGTCACTTTGGTAAAGTAGTTTTGGCTCAGCACCAGCGGACGGAAGGTTATTTCGCAATCAAAGCTCTAAAGAAGGCCGATATTATTGCGCGTGACGAGATCGATAGTCTGCTGGCGGAGAAGCGAATATTTGAAACTGTTAATGCCATTCGTCATCCATTCTTAGTCAATTTATTTGCTTGTTTCCAGACGCAGGTATAAATAGCTCACATTAATGTTTGTGGTTGGTGCGGACTGTGCGGTGAATGACATCATTGATGGGTGTGTTTATGTTGACAGGATCATGTTTGTTTTGTTATGGAATATGCTTCGGGTGGAGATCTGATGATGCATATCCATGCCGAAATTTTCTCTGAACCGCGTGCATGTTTCTACGCAGCCTGTGTGTTACTGGGACTGGAGTATTTACACCAGAACAAAATTGTTTATCGGTAGGTTAAGGTTAAAATTTGAAAACCGCTTTGTTATGAGTTTCCTGCGGCGTACCAGTTTAATAGCTACAGTCCTGGAAAAGGACATCGGCTACAATTGACATAGATACGTTGCAGTACGGACTACAGATTTTTTGCCAAACCTGAAATCATACCAATTAAATACACGAAACAGGATATCTTTGTGGTCATAGCTGAAGCTGAACCTTTCGAAAATTTATGGAATTCGTATGGATTTAAAATTGAAATTGTAACGAATAAGTCTTGAATGGGCTGCTGTTTCAGTGATCTCAAGTTGGATAATTTACTGCTGGACGCGGAAGGTTACGTGAAGATTGCCGATTTTGGTTTATGTAAAGAAGGAATGGGATTTGGCGATCGCACGGGAACCTTTTGTGGGACGCCGGAATTCCTGGCACCGGAAGTGCTGACGGAAGCCTCTTATACCCGTGCGGTCGATTGGTGGGGTCTAGGAGTACTGGTGTTTGAAATGTTAGTCGGAGAATCACCTTTTCCTGGTGAAGACGAAGAAGAAGTCTTTGACAGTATTGTAAATGAAGAAGTCAAGTATCCACGGTTTCTCTCGATTGATGCAGTCGGACTGATGAAAAAGGTAGTTGATCAAACTTTACTTACCATTAACATTGGCTAGTTATCTGCACTAGCCAGTTTTCGTAAATTTTTTCAGTGTTTAAATTTAAACTTTTTGGTTCAGCTGTTGAGGAAGACGCCCGACAAACGTTTGGGTGCAAGTGAAGCGGATGCTGAAGAAATCAAAAAACAACCATTTTTTCGCAGCATAAAATGGGATGACCTTTTGCGAAAGAAGGTGAAACCACCATTCGTACCAAAAATTGTAAGTATTAAGCTGATTTATAAATTGAATGCATTTAATGTTTGTTTTCGGAAGAATGAGTCATCTAAGAAAGTTCTCAAAGAATGCTAATATTCGTAGAGAAGGCTTCCGCATTTGATTTTTGTGCAGCTTATTTTCCCTTTTTCAGGCATTTCAGGAAGACGTTAGTAATTTCGATCCAGAATTCACTGTGCTTAAAGCAGTGCTTACTCCGCCCAAAGAGCGGCGCAAGCTGAATACTGAGGAACACTCGATGTTCCATGATTTTGATTATGTATCTGAATGGTGTTAAGCCGGATGGTCGTTGGTTGGTCTTTCTATATTTTGTGCCCAATCTGTATGGACTTCGGGCCGTGGGTTCGGCTTGGCAGTTGCACTGCGTGGATGGGGCAGGCTGCAATCCTCTTCACTCTCTTGGCGTTTCGTTTTGTATCGAAAGAAATGATTTAATTTGTCCGTCATGGCTCAACAGTTCAATAGGAAGCGGAATTGATGATGTTTTTATACGTACTTAAATTTTGTTACGGGTTGCGATGCGGTTTGTAAAAATTTTGCAGCGCTGTTTTGAAGTTTGAGTTTTTCCAACCCTGATGCAGCTGTTTGGTTAATGTCGACAGTTCTGGACTTGAAAGTTCTACCAGTACTTAGTCGTCGGTATGGTTTTCTAATAAATTATTCTGAGTTGTTATTTGTGAAGGAAATCACAGAAGCGACTCAACCTGCTAGCTGGTAATATGAAATTTTTGCAGATGACAAAATCATTAGGCTTTTATTACTATGTCAGAAGATGGCAAGATTAAGCAAATAATTGTTATGCCAGCTTACAAATAACACAATGTACCTAGTGCGATTTGCTCCAAAGCAAAATGCAACCGGAAGTCGAAAATGATCGTGCTACCGAAAATTGAAATTGACGTCACGCCAAGGAAGCTGTGATTGGTCAGAGTTTTAGCTCGGCTCGGAAATTTGCCAGGCTAAGCATTTTGGCTGAACCTGTCATCTTCTGAAAATTCCAAAAAACCGAATTTTTGGAATTTTCATTTTCCCGTCTTCGGGGAGATGCCGAGAGTGTCTGAAATTCCAAATCTACTGTGTCGTCGTGCCGTACTCCCGTTGTCTAGCAGTTACGAATAACAATCTTTGAATTTATGTTTCTCCATGCATATTGCTACTGCCTTTTTTCAGTCGCACAGCACCTTTACCATGTCAAACTGCTTAACTTAAAAATATTGAAAATTCCAGTAAAAAAATGGGCGTAAATCCAATTAATGGTGCATTTTGAATTTTGCCACAAGCAGCACTTTGTCATCGCACGCGGTCTAATATCACGAGATGTAGTTTTAAAAATCTATACAACCTTGAACCAATCAGAACTCATGCCGCAAATCGATATACCACGGTATTAATAATTAGTATTAATTAATACAGTAGCTCCACGCATACAGTTAGCAAAATAATCTGAAGAACACAATCTATGAACATTTTGACCTGCGTTCTGAAAATACTTATTAAGCCATAGAAAAGTGTTTCATCCTAAAATTTTGTTAGCGTTTAACGCTAAAAAAAACCCGAGAAAAACGTAATTGAACAATAACCGGATTACGAAAACTGGGTTTTCATTATATGTAACAGAATTATCGCACATTTCTGATTTACCCGCATAAAATGCAATTATTAATTCCCATAAATTCTAATTAATAAGAGTTTCTCGTTTTTTAACGTTCTATTTGATGTATTTTGGCTATTACGTAATACGTGATTTAACTTATCGTTAGTATTTATACAATTATTATTTTTAACTCGTGGATTAATCATTGCAAGCACTTCTATTATTACCTGCTTTTTCAAATGCAGACCGAGTATTGTATGTACCGTATCTGTATGTACGTATACTGTATACAGATAATATATTATAATAATTATCGTATAAAGTAAATGCCTTTTAGAGTTCAGGTGCGTTCGTTGAACTTCGTTCTATAAAGTAATTTTAACAATTATAATATGAGCTTTCTATGATAATTATAATATGAGCTTTTTATTTAATTTTTTTCAGAATATCACTTTGCTTTAACGCGGTTTACAATTTTACATAAACATTTTTGAAACCAGCAAGTGCCAGATCAAATTTTACAAAATTTTTTGTTCCATAGTACAGTATAAAGTAGCCGATCGACATTCGACCCTGCCATTGGTGCTAAAAGTTTGATTCTGGGCGGGCACGGAATTGATCACCGCTAGTTCACGGCACGTGAAACAATACTAAAGGGATATTTGCCGCGCTTTCTGTGCGCACTTCTGCGTATCGATCGGGATTTTGCCCGTCTGCTGTCGATGTCCGTTGATTCACAGATATCGTTCCTCTGCTTCAAACGGAAGACTTATTTATACAAGGTTGACTCTACAGTAGTCAGATTATCGATCCCGTGGTTTATTAGCTCGATAGATTGACAACATTACAATTTTACATCTCTCGCTCTCCCGTTTCCGTGACCCGTGAGTGTAAATGCTAGCGCTGCAATTAGTTCAAGAGTGGAAAATTACTGGCGCAATGGAGAGCCACGAAGTCAAAGAATTCGTGCATCCCGATGGAACCTACTTGAGGGAGGAAAACCATACCGAGAAACCCCAGGAAACGACAGAAACTTTCGTTCGTACTCACGACGCAGCTGTGGAAGAGCCAGAGAATAAAGAGAATTCGTTGGATTTAAAGACTGATGGCAGCTTCGCTTCGACGGGAGATGCTTCGCTGAACTATTCGGGATTCGTGCGGGATTTGGCTGAAAAGAATCGCGATGGCAACTACAATCAGTCGCCTGACATGAGCAAGCTGAACATGTTGCAACAAGAGACAGTGTTTGAACAACGTGGAGCTGGCGAACCTAATGGGGACCTGAGCAAATTTATTCCTCCGACAATCTCAACATCCACTGTTGGTACGTTTGCATGGATATGTGGCCGTAATTTGCTTGTCGTATCTCGGTAACTGGTATCAGTTAATACACGATTGTGCACTTGCGGTATATTCAGCAATCAGCGGCGCTCGTTGATTTTTCGAAAAAATTATGCAGTGTTTCCTTCTTTTCTGAATGATTTCCGATGCGATGAACTAAATAGTTAGATCTTGAGTCAGAACATGGATTCTTACCTTTTGTAATTATTATTTTCTAATTTATTCGACAGTCACGAGCGACGATGGATCGTTTGGCGCCACTGGTCTCAACAACGAACTCCATGTAAGTTTATCGAAACAATTCACAATGTTTCATTGTATCTTGTATACAGTGTACTGTGTTGCGTAACGTTTTCTGTTTCGCTTCCGGAGATGCACTTTCGATTGTTTTATCACCGTTTATGCTAAAAGCGTGACATTCATGGGTATTTTTAGTTGAATACTCTGAAGGGAATGTCAGTGTCGCTGGTCGTGAGGAGCGAAATGAGAAAGGTACTACTACTTGTTAATTTTCTTTTTCCCGAAGAATTACAGTATGGTAAAAAAATGAATGTTGGTAAAATATTCACCCAATTAAACACAAACGTTGCTGCTTTAATGAAGAAGAAAGTCGCTGAAAATTGGCCGCACGGGTCTATGATTCTCAACGATTCGACTTCCAAATTTGCGTCTTTCAAAACTGGTGACTGCAGCGTGCTCGTATTTACGTTTTCACGTTTCCTTTACGGTTTATCTTGCGGCTGTCGGTGCTCATTTAGCAACAGCCATCGGTAATATTTGGCAGCATACTTTTGAAGTATTAGATTTGAATTGCGGTGCATGCCTGCTTTAATAAATTATTGCATCGCGCGGTAGTCGTTTATATCAGTGTGATTAGTTTCGCGTTGAATTGTCTGGAGGTGCCAGTTTTCCCGAAAGACGCAAATTATGGAGAAGCCAGAATGTCTTATCGAGCTTGGGAAAGCAAGAGTTCGCTTGTTAATGTATATTTTCGTAGATGACTGGCCGAAGCTGCCGGCCGTCAAAGGTAGCGCCTTGCACGCCGATGCTCCTTCCTTCGTTCCGCTGGCACAAACTGTCCATCGTCCCGATCAGCTGTCGCGTACGACCCTTGGTCAGCCGCATTTGGACTCGCCGATGGCCGAATTCGACGTCGACCGTCGTCGCACCAACAGTCACGGCAACATTCGTACCCGCCGCGCCCGTCCGCTGTCGCAGCACGTTGGCGATCTGATCATGTGGCGCAACACGAAGGACTCTGCGGTTATCTTCACCTTCGGCACTATTCTTCTATTGTCTCTCTCCTACTTCAGCCTGATCAGCATCTTCGCCTATTTGTCCATGATCACGTTGATGGTGATTACCACGTTCGTATTGATGCGCCAGGTTACATCGGCCTTTCAGCAACAGACGTCCGAGCATCCATTCCGAGGAGTAATTGGGAAGGATGTGGTTATCAGTCCGGAATATGCCCATCAGCAATTAGACAGTATTCTCAAGCCCTTGAATAATACACTGGTGAAGGTGCGCAATTTGTATTTGGCTGACAGTTTGGGACAGACACTGAAGTTAACCTTCATCATGTACCTCTTGACCTATGTCGGTAAGTTTTAACATGTATTAGCCAGTGGCTCAGAATTCTTTATCGCTGTTTAAGTATCGGTAAATGATGCAGTTTTTCAAAAACTGAAATTTGTTGCCAGTACGCCAACGGATAAGCATCAGCATTTGACATAAAATTGATTTGCATTCCCATTGAGGGCAGGCATCAACTTACTTGCTTGCGGTTGCGAATAAGTACTGCACGAGTTCATTGTTAACAATTTAACACTCTGTGCTCTTCTTGCTAAGGTTCCTGGTTTAACCTGCTTACTCTGCTGACGGTTGTGTGGATTGGTGCGTTCAGCATTCCGAAGTTATACGAGGCTAACAAGGAGCAAATTGACAGTGTGCTGGATGTGATTCTGGAAGGTCTGCGTGACGTGCGTCGCCAGGTGATGCGCGCGGCCAATCATCAGCTGGCTAAGATTCGTCCCGGAGCCCGACGTGTTAATTCCACCAAACGGGAAAACTTGGCCGGCAAGATTCGTACGCAACCGGAAGTCGCTTCCAAGTTGGAATGAATGGATATCCGATTTGCATGGAGGATTTTCTCTCACCGTTCGATTTTTCTTTTCTTAACCAGAGTGAGACATTAATTTGTTCTTTTTTGATCATTTACTCTGTTCCTACGTAATATTTTCTGCTACTGATGCTATGTCATTCCACTCATCCAGTGTGAATTGTGTACTGGTCGTTGTAATTACATTCTTTAAAGTTAATTCCATGGCGTTGAAAAGTTTTTGCCTGAAATAAACGCGTTCCATTGTTTACGTGTTTCTGAGTTACTCTTGAGAAAACTAAATTCTTATTGTTAGAAAATCATCGAGTCAAGTCATGAATTCTCGTTAAAGCAGGGCGAATTAGCGTTTATTGTAGGATGCTTCGGCTCCGATACCATGTTAAATGAATTTTATTTATGGCAAAAGCTGCCATCACTTGCCGAGGCTGCTTTGCAGTGCCATACGGTACGTTAGAACTTCGAACTTTTGAAGCCCGTCCCATTATTCTTCGTTTTCTGTAAGTAAACGTAAATATTAGGTCTCTTGACCTACAATAGGGAGATCAATAACAATTAACAATAATAATATTAGTGCGCTTGCGAAATGCAGGAAGTATCTGTACGGTATCTGTATAGGCTGTAGTCGGCGTCGCTACTGAAATTCCCTCTTATATTGCTGGAGGTATCGTTCAAATCGTTGAACTCTTCTAAATTTAATCGAAAGAACTGCGTTGAAGAGTGTCAAATCGACAGCCTCCACCAAGAAAAAAACATAACTTCGTTCATTCAAGTTAATATAACACCGCATTCAGGGCCAGACTGTCGTAGTCACCGAGTGACCTTAAAAATGCTGATGTCACTCTGTGTGGCTTTTTGCCTACTCTACTTAGGCTTCGAGACGAACCAGCTTGCGTGTACACCGGCTGCTACCGAAAGCGGGGTCAGCGACAAGCTTCAGCAAACCGGTTCCCGAGGCTAGAGGATGAGGAGTGGTGGTATATGCAAACGACAGCAGCATTGATTCTTTTGCTGAATAAGTATACATTTTTCATAAAGTGATATATCACCAGCATTTCACTCCAAATTCGGTGTCTCCCATGCAACATCTTCCGTGTCAGCATCGAACATCCGGTTGTTACGTAATTTCGCCATCGACACGCTATGCAGTACGCAAGGTATGTTACGCAATACAAATCAAGCACTTATTTTCGCTCGATTCGCTGGAAGATTATCGTTGTACTCACTTTCTAAAGTTGTACGAAGAGTTGCTCCCTACTGGGCTTATGAACCGACCGGAAATACTGCAGCGCTCGAAGTGTGTACTACTATGCATGCAGTACCATTTTGCTAGTACCGCAAAAAAATCGATGCTGACGCATTGATTTATGCTCGCGTGACATCAGACACAGCCCTGACTTTCAAACTTTCATAACTGGGTTTGTCTGTTTAGAAAGACACATGATCTTCTTAACGTTAAGCACCCGAGGTGGTCGCACTTTTACGCACATGTAAATTATTGAAAGAACTCATGTATAAGCTATGTACTTATGTGTATATTTAATCGTATTTCTCTACATACAGTAGTACTACATAGTACTTAATGCATAGTACTGCACACACAGTTTAAAATTCACTCTGTGCAATGCTGATTCATCTTTTTTGCTATAACAAACACTTGGCTTAATTTCGAATGCCATATTCTCCTAAACAGTATTGCTAAGTAATCCCTTTTATCTCCATTTAATTAGCGTCTTTTTTTTATCTGGAGTCGATTATTTATCAAGGTAAGGTTTGGTCGTTTTTTATCAGGACGCACCTTTGCTTTGTTCAGACAAATGGACCGGAAGTGAGTCGAAGCACGGATCTGGATTTCGTAAGAACTTCTGGCTTTAATTTTGCGCGGCAGCTCCTGTACGTGATATCAGAATGGTGGATAGATTTGGAAGGGTACACCAGATCGTGGACTTCCTGTATTTGTCGGGCGCCAACGGAGCTCGCCGGGATCATATTCGCGAGCGAGGAATTACATGCGTCATCAACTGCACTATCGAATTATCCAATCTTCCGCTCACCAATGTGGAGTTTATTAATGTTAAAGTGGATGATTCTCCGTATGCTTCCATAATTCGGTATTTTGACAGCTGCGCCGATAAAATCGAAGAACACCGATTAGCAGGTGAGAATATATTGTAAATTTGTTCAATCACTTGTACTAATTAAAAGTATTTTAATGATTTTTACATGCCCTGCTCAGTAGCTACCAGCTTGTACAAGGTGGTATGCAACTTTTGCAGTTGTGACAGTTGTAACATAGCTTTTTTGTTGTTAACTGAGCGCAAATGAGTTTCTGGCAATGCGGAATCTGAGAGATTAATAAAGTATTACCTAATCAGCAGGAGAAGGACTCATGAAATTTGCGCAAATTAATGCAACTGTTTTAATGCAGAGCCCAGTTGGCTTTGGATTCTTTTTAAATTTTCGAAACTGATGTTTTCCGAAAATTGAAAATACCTCTTATCACCGACGAAACCCAAATCTGAAAATTTCAAAACCCAGACAGAAGTACCTGCGTAGTACGGCTGCATTTAATTATAAGTCGCATTCACGGTCATAAGAAATGAGTGTATTGTACAAGCTTACGCCCGGCTTTCATACACATTATTCTTATTAAGTTTGTAATTGTGATGTACTTTTCTCATAGGTGGTAAAGTGTTGGTCCACTGTATGGCTGGCGTATCTCGTTCGGCGTCCATCGTAATTGCCTACTTAGTCAAGTATCAGAACTTATCCCTAAAGGAAGCGTATGCTGCTGTGCGTGCTGCTCGCTCCATTATTCGGCCCAATCCGGGCTTTTGGAAGCAGCTGATTGAATACGAATACCGCATTCGCAAGGAGGAATCAGTACGGATGGTTCCGTCGGCGTTCGGCATGATTCCCGACGTGTACGAAAGTGAAATGAAGCCTATGGGCTGGCTAAAGGTCAAAACTACGTTCAGGTTGTGATGGCTGATGTCTCCGGATCGGACGATATGGGTCATCTAAACTTTTGACCGTACTTCTGATCAGATTACATTTTTTTAAAAATTTTAGGATTTCGGACACATACATCTGATTTTGTTTTTGAAATAATGACACATTGCACACCTCATGGCGTATGTGCAGTGCTACAGATATATGTATCAAACACGGATGCAATTGCGGCCTGAAGTCTCAGTCGTTGTCAGTTTGTGACTGTTTGTTATTTTATTCTGTTATGTGACAATAGTTTTAAAATAATGTGATCTTGCGGTATTACGTACATAACAGATGTCGTGTGTACATGTACTTATTTTACTGCCTACAGGGCTTGCAGAAAATACTGCGTACCAAATTTATCACTTTCAGGGCGGATGAACGGAAATTTAAAACACAATAGTATTCAGTCCTGTCATTCTATAAGATGCTCAACACTCTTCTGCAGAACTTGCTAATGGCAAATGCGTAACGGTACTAGGATAATGAACTAATGGATTTTACAACTGAGGTGGAAATAAACTCATTTATGAGTTTTTACCAGTGGATCATCAAACATTATTCATTACTATGATAAGATAAAGCCTCACCCAACGCAGCAATTGGCTGCGTCGGGTGAGGTCGCCCTTGGTAGCTTGCACGGTTGTTATTCCGTGCTTCTAAGTTTTGGCCACTCCAAACGGAATCTTCCAGTCAACATCGTTGTGTTCGTGGATAGGCTCGAAGATGTCGCTGTAGTACAATACATGTAGCCGATTTTCGCACCATTGCGTAGTGTCTGGTCGTAGTCCGTTGTGTTCTGGACTCGGATCCAAGCCGTGTCGAGGGAGGGTCGGATGTCCACATCGGGTTCATTAGGCCAAATTTTACGGTTTAGTCACCGCAGGGACTCAAAAGTTATTCGGTCTCTGTGTATCCATATACCGAATTAAGCGCACTGGTATGGCGCATGTGTTTCTTTCGACAGTGGTTGTTTGATGTCAAGTACTTCTGTGTTTCAAGTGCTCTCCGTACGTCGTCGTTCGTATGCGCGCTTTTTTGTCGCAGTAGGTCAGTGATTTCACTGGTACGGTGGTCGGTATTGTACTACGGAAAACCAAGCAGGGTATTGTTGCATTAAGATACCAGCGGCTCGTGCCTCTGGTTTCAAGACAGACTTTAACATTCTCCTGACTGATTCCATTGGAGTCGTCCGGATGTGTGCCATGTGCCGTTCAATGGCAATAATCAAGCAGATTAATCCACAGTTCTCAGCCTCTGGTATGGTGATACTTCCAGCTGCGCTACACCTGTAGATTGTGTTATCTGACCTTCGATGGGGGTCGGCGCACAGTAAAAATGAAATGAGAGTGCAGGAGTGGAGTGAATAAAATGGGAGTGAAATGGGAGAGAAATCGCATTCAAGTAGCACCCGAGTTGTTCGGTTGGACATGTAAGGTCTGGGCGTTGTTAAATCCCTGCGGCGTTACCGGTACGGCGCAACAGCAACAGAGACTTCTCCGCCGACTCTGAGGGTTTGACTGAAACCTCCCGTTGGTTCAAATTTCAGGCCGTTCAGTTTGTCGATTAAGAATTCGTCTGATCCGATATCCAGCATTGCCATAGCAGGCGTAGATCCGATTTGGACTTCGTGCGTCCATGCCCAGACTTTCTTCGGTTTCCCGAAGGACACCAACCGTTCGAAGGTGACAACCCGAATCGTTAATTCCACCGGGATTAAGGTTGTTATTCCGCAATTTTTTGACGCGGATCCGCTCGAGACAACGTTGGTGTCTGTGCGCGGTGACTGAGACACTCGATTGGGGCTCACACCGGGGATGCCGTCTGGTATAGTGATAATTAAGACTGACTGCCGTTGCAGAGGTTATTCTACAGACGTTGCCTTAAGGTTGACCGTTTTCCGTACATTTAGTCGAATTACGACTCCAATCTCTAGTATTTTGGCAGTTTCTACATTCGGGATCTGATTCGATATGCGTTTTTCATGGTTGGTTCTCCCGGGCGCAGTGTCGATAAGTTATGCTGCAGGTTGAAAAACGTTCGCGAGCCCGTTACGATTTTCACGTTGAGGCGTTGAAAGGAGTTCGCTTTCTCCGGCCGAGGGTGAGCGGGTACTCTTGCCTCCAACGAGATTGGCTCTCTAAACTTCAGAGTCTGCTCTCACGGGAGGGTCTTTGTCGCGAGCGGTCTCCCCGGTAGGCCCGCTGGTGACGGTTCCGGCGTCATTGTGACACGCTCCGAAGTTGCGGCGCTGCGCCTCGGTTATCTGCATGGCTCGTAGACCGTGGTACCTAATTGGGCGCCTGACGGTCCAGGTGGACTGGTAACACATCTTTCCCGGCCGGTAGAGTCACTTTTTTTGGTATCGGTAGAAATTTTTTGCCGAACTTGCTGGTTACTCCTTCTGGCTCGGGTTAGACAGCTGCGCTATTGCTGTCGTGTCGTTCGGGTCGATTCTTCGGTTTTCCGAACCAAATCTCCATGGGGTACCATTCCGACTTCAGCTGCAAAGGTTTTCGCGGCTCGGCCCTCCGGTGTGGGGGCGGCAGATCTGGCGTTTTGATTGCAGATGTTGGCGTTGCAGATCGGGCCTTCGGATTCCCTGACGATGGTGTCGGGTTCAGAATCTCTGACTTGGGGGGTCTTGACCTGTTGCAGAAACTCCCAGGCGGTTTATGGGTCCCCAGCATCTTTTTCCGGGTTCTGAAGGTTGCCTTCGGAGTCCCCTAGGTCGATTTCGAGGACGGTGGTGCCGGTTTAAAGGTCCAAGAGTTGTTTCGGGACCGGAATGCCGATTTCCAGTTTTTTTGTTCGGCAGTGTATGGTTGCCCTCCGTTGGTTTTGGGCGTGGACCGAAGATACCGGGGGACTTTTCTTCCAAACTCATTCCCCGGGTTGATGAAGTTATTCCTCCTGTTGTTGTCGCGTACGTAAGGTTACCATGTCGCCCTGTTGGGGCACGGTATCACGACATTTCACAACGCGACATTTCACATCGTAACATTTCACCGAATCCATTTCATGACCACGACATTTCTCAACCGCAACATTTCACAACTGCAACGTTTCACAGCCACAACATTTCGCAACCGTAACATTTCATGACTTGTGCATTTGCCGCCCCGTAACAATGCATAAAGTACATTGCGCACACAGGAACAACTCTATAACGCTATTCCATAACGAGACTCGATTGCTACAATTCAAAAACCGACAAATTTACTAAATATCCTATTTTTGGCAACTGCGATAACCCATGCCTAATATTCTGTAAAATTGTTGTAACTTGTACCTAAAACCTATTACCAAAACCCATCTTTCACAATAAAAATGACACAGCTGATATGCCTTTTATTGTTACTGTTTTACTGAAATATAACCAGTTTTAGGCACAGCATTATGTTGGCATAACTGTCATCGGGAAATTATTACAATCATAACAATCATTTTAAAACAAGCCGAGCACGGATGAATATTGGCTGATGACTATAAGAATTAAGTAATTTCAAGGATGTGTTGAATTTTGGTTGCTTACAAACTGTTATAATATTGCAAAACCCGTACGCGTATTTAGCAATAATAGCCTACTCTATATTTCAGACTGCACGGTTTGTGTTAGTTGCGGCTCCGGTTCCATGTGGAACCTTCGGTTCCGGGTTGTTTTACGTCCGTTTGCGACGTTAGCAGCTGTAACCTAGCTGTAATGATTTTGACACGCTGTAGTGACTGTATCTGCACACTCACACACTCCTTGTGGCTAGATGGATAAACCTTCGGGTTTTGAAAGATAGTCTACATCGAGCGCGGTTTGGACTTAGATGGGTGACCACTCTGAGTTCAGGCTGCGAGAGCACGGCCCGCAAGGCCTGTGTGCGAAGTGCTTGGCTGAGGCAGCAATACCACCAAGGAGACGGGCACGGGAGATGGAGGATCACAATACCACCCTGGCTACTCAGTAACGGCTTGGACTGAAGGCCTGTGATGTCCGCAGCACCAATCGTGCCAAATGGAAGGAGACAGGGAGATCAGTCGACGCAGAGAATTAGCGCCTTCCCTAGAGATGTGCTTGCTGTCGTTTTCGAAACAACTAGCCCAATAAAGCAATAGCAAAGTACGGCTGTGTTTTTTTTATAAGTTAATAGGAACCAGGACTGTCTATATACTGTCCGTAAGTTGCATTTTGCGCTGATGACTGCCATTTTTACATGAATTTGTACTTTGCATTGTGCTTATTGTTGAGTAGGAGCACAAGTATTTCTACAGTTCTGGGTCAAGTTGTGTTAAACAGTATGCATTTCTTATCGCGTCCATGGTAACAAGCTTATGGCTGACCACTGGACCCAGCCAAATGATTTTGGCAAAAGGTTGACCATCTTAGATCCACCGATGCGCTGAGAGCATTCTTATGCACTTTAAAGTAGCAAAATTGATGAAGTAGAAGCCGATGTCCTTGGCCTCAAAGGAGAGGGGCCGAAGGTTTGGCACAGATAATTAGTATTCATATAACCAGTTTACGGGATCTACATCCGTACACAAACTTTTGCGGCGCAAGTTTGTTACGCAATGCACACTTCGCAACGGTTGATCGCATTGGTCCCAGCCGCTAAGAAAACTAAGAAAGAGAAAATCTAAGAAAACTTGAAAAACCGTAAGAAAGCCTAAGAATTCTAAGAAACCTAAGAACCTAAGAACCTAAGAAACCTAAAAAAACGAAGAAACCCAAGAAATCTAAGAAACCTAAAAAACCTAAGAAACCTGAGAAACCTAAGAATACCTAAGAAACCTAAGAAATTTAAGAAACCTGAGAAACCTAAGAAATATCGTATATGAAAGAATACGAGGTATACCGATCACGCTGGTGGGATTGGCTGCGATTAATTTTTGCACATGTTTCTTAAATTTTCAATATTTCGTAACGTGCCGATGCCGAAGGCCGCGGTCTGTCTTGGTTTTTCCGAACGGTGCATTTACCATGTATGTCTATGGGGGCCCATGGCAACAATTTGTTTTTTGGGGCTACTCCTTCCCTTTTGGGGCGTATCGATGGCGCAATAGCGTAAGAACATTCGCGCCGTTGAGACGAATTTAACGCACTTGGCCGCGTCGAAATCGGTGCAGCCGCTCGCCCAAACATTGGCTACTTTATCAATCGTGTACAGTGAAACTCCTCTTAACATTCACCTTCCTATAACATTCACCTCTTTACTGCATACATGAGGCTGGGAACCAAACCGTCCGGTAGACTTTAACACAAGGGCAGTTCTCTCTATAGCATTCAC